CTATATCCTGAGGCCCTGGCTAAAAATGAGGTGTGCATTTAATCATTCGCTCATTCATTCAAACCTACATACCATGCACTGGGATTCCCACCATCTCACAGCCTGTGTGGGGAGAAGCATAAGCAACAGCCACAACACCGCATTCTGAGCGTGAAAGGGAGCTGTAGAGACTACTACATGAACACAGAGCAGGAAGCAGGGAGCCCTGAGGGTGGAAGATGGGCCTCTGACGGTGAGGAGACATTTACCACGTGGGGACAGGGGGAGAGGAGATGGCAAAGTGGACATGTGAATGGCAGCTGACCAGGTGTGATGGGAAAAACATGAGCCAACAGCATGGAAGGTGTCAAAGGAGGAAAGTCAAAAATGTAGATGGCAGTGCCAAATGTTCAGGGGATGGAAAGGAAGCCATGCACTTGTGCAATCATAAGGTGAGCTATGACTCAAGCAAGAGTCATTTCAATAGTACACTGGTGGTGGCGAGGAGCAGATCACAAGGGATCGGGGAGAAAACGGGAGGTGAAATTAAAAGCAGAAAATATGCCTTTTAAAAGTTTGGAAGTAAAGAAGACAGGACTATAAATGTGAATGAACAGAATGGCAAGATTTAGAACCACTTTTAAGAGGTATCTAGCAGGGAGTCTACCTGAGTCTCTACCTCTGCCCCTCTCTCCTCCACACTCACACACGTGTGTGCTCTCTAAAATAAATAATAAAAAAAAAAGGAACCGCTATTTAAGAAAATGATGATTTTACATCCCACAGAAGATCCAAAGTGTCAATCAGGCTTCACAGCTACAGGCAGCGATGCAGACAGACTTTGGGAGGGACCCTGATAGTCTGAATTGAGAAAGGAGCCTTAAAACACTTGGAGCAGATGCATAAACAAAATGTGATGCACTCAATAAAATGCCATTCAGCCATGAAAAGGAGGCAAGCACTGACACCTGCCAGAACACGGAAGAACCCTGAAAACATGATGCTGAATTAAAGAAGCTGGTCACAAAAGGTCACATGTTTTATGAGTCTGTTTGTCCGTTTATTTATTTATGACACAGAGGAAGAGGCAGAGACATAGGTGAAGGGAGAAGCAGGCTTCCTTCAGGGAGCCTGATGAACGACTCAATCTCAGGACCCCAGGATCACGACCTGAGCCAAAGGCAGACGCTCAACCACTGAGCCATCCAGGTGTCCCTATGAGTCCATTTGTATGAAACATCCAGAACAGGCAAATCCATAGAGACAAAAAATAGATTAGTGGTTGCCAGGGTGAGGAGGAGGGAGTGATGGCAAGTAACGACTTCAATGGGCATAGGGTCTCCTTTTGGGGTGATGAAAATGTTCTGGAACTAGACAGAGGTGATGACTGCACTGCATAGTGAATGTGCCAAATGCCACCAAATTATATACTATAAAATGGCTAAAAGAGTAAAGTTTGTTACATGCATTTACACATACAAAACCTGAAGCAGCATGAAACCAGTCAGGCCATCAGGCAGGAAAGTGAAGTACTGCCAACAGACAATGGCAATTATGTGACAATTTTCATAATTGTCAGTTATCAAGAAGAGGTAAGTTATGCTAACCATGAGGCTGAACAATACGAAATTGCAAAACAAAAGCAATTTCATATGGTTCAATCTAATATATTCCTTTTTCAAAGACAGGGCACTCTGTTGACTGTAGAGATTTCTGTCACAGTTGATGCTGGATAAATCAAGCCTCTCTCAGTCCCAACTGACCCTGGATTTTGCTCCTCTGTGCCCCTAAAATAAGTACTCCACTTGGGAAAGGCAACTTCTACAATTCCCTTTGGAAAGGAGAATGTCTGATGGGGAGAGCAGACAAAAAAGAATGCAGACACGTGGGTTTTGTTTCTGGCTTTGCCAGCTCTGTTCTAGAGAACTAGGAACAAATAGAGGAGTCCTTCCAACTGTTAGAATACTTCTTCATGGGGGTGCACGATGCCCACTAGTCAATCAAGTCAGACGAGAATTCCTATCAAAAAGCAGAAACGAACACCACTCCTCAACTTTGACCAACCAGTCCTGCTCATGATCACCCCTCCTAATCTCAGAATATCCTACATTTTAATTGATAAAAAGAGAGTATGTTCTATAAAACCACTGTCTCAAGGAGGCAGGGATTCTTTTATTTCAATAAATAACCTCACATCCAATTGACAAACAGGAAATCAAATAGCCCTCATCATGAAAGAAGTAATCCCAGTGAGATGCTGAAGATGCAAGTGATTTGGGCTTTCTAAGCAAAATAAATATTTGAAGCAGAAAAAAAAATTTTTTGAGAGTGCATTTCTCAATTGCTTGACCCCTACCTGCTACATTCCTAGCTCACAAGTTTTTCTTTCTTTTTCATCTTAACAGTAATAATTATGAAGTAAGTAAAAGTAAGTTTTATTCTCAGCATAAGCTAGGAGCAGGGAAACAGGCTTCCGAGTTAGTCTGCCATTAGTACAGGTTTTGGCTCCAATGCCTGTGTGTCCTTGGCATATTGGTCCACTTTTGGACCTCCCCTTGTCTACAAAATAATCTTCTTATCTCAGAGGCATGTCCTCTGTGAAACAGATTCTGTGAAGATTCTGTGAAACAGATAAAGCCATCAGCTCCATAAATGCTCCGTGAATTACAATGCCACTAAATAAAGCAATCAGGATAGAACTCAAGTCCTGGGTTGGTATTTACCCATGCCCTATCAACTTCATCTCCACTGTCTTCAGTTTAGAAAGTAATGTTTCTGTAGGAATACAATTAAAATTCTCTTTTTTTAAAAAAAGAGTTTCTGCCAAACGTGGTGGCTCTGTAGTATATTTCTAAACATAGTTGGTCAATAATTTGGCGTGACTACAATAAAGTGAAATTTGTGATTTTACAGAAGTAAGCAGTACTCTAAATTCCTGAAGATTACACAGTAAGAGTAACAGAGCCAATGAATTAATCAGTCTTCTGTAGACTAATGTTGCTTCTAAATTATTTTAGATGGGTGATTCTCTCCATTCTTTTGAAATAAATATACACAGACACTATATATATGTGTGTGTATTTATTAATATTTGTGTTTATTTCAGGGGAAGAATTACCCATAATCCTCCTTGGTAATCAACATCATGGTTAACAAGTTCTACCATTGAAGCCTATTATCTAGTTCATACTCCTTTCTCTCCTGAATAAAACACAGAACTAGTAAGGGCCTAACAACCTGTCCTTTAAAGAGAAGTCACTTTTTTTATTTGATCCTTGCACGAGCTGTTCTGTAACACCCTTTGAAGTCACTGACTTTCAAATTTCTAGTGACAAAACCTTTTCAAAAGGAAGGCAATTCAAATGCCAACATGCAAGAGAAGAGCATGGGAGGGAGGGAGCCCTGCCTTCCCATCCCAGAGGAAGGTTGCCTCCCTTCCACTGCTTTCCAGTTCTGAGTGACCGGAAGAAGCAAGAAATATAATCAGCAGTCCAGTTAAGGTCACAACATGAGAGGATGATCCCTCCGTGTTCCTCCCACGTCTGGAATCTGCTCTAACAGAGATATTCCATGAAGTCAGGTGAGACACCTCTTAGAGATCCTTCTCTTTTAAGAACTTACAGACACAGTGAGAGAGCTAATCAGTGCTCTCTGTGCCAAGAAAAAAAAAAAAGATCTCATCTGGTCAAAGGGCTCCTACTTTTCACGAACTCCAGGTTCTCACCAAAGGATAAGGCTTTATTTAAGTTAACTTTCCCTGATCCAAATCAGAAGATGGCAAACATTTCGTGACACTAGTCCCTGACTGAGGGTGAGCAAATTACTATCTTTATGTATCTATTTCTTCTCTTACAAGTAGAAATAATGACAGAGTGAGCCATTTCCTAGAATTATTGTAAAGATTAAATGATAGGACAGCTATCATTTATTTGTGCTTGTCACAGTGTAAGAGCCAGTAAATGTGAGCTAATATCACCAAAGCATCATTGCCATCCTGGAGTCTGGAGAGATGTGGCATTTCTTTTGTGAGAAATATCATGGAAAGCTAGAATGAAGACTTTAATATCGGAAATCAACTCTCCAAAAAGTGCTTTTATCACAAACTGCACCATGTCATTGGGTTCTCAATATAATTACCTCCAAATGACTCCATCCTGAGAATTAATCTTTGCAAAGTATGCTGGGGGAAAAAAATTCTCTTAAAGTATAAAGCAAGAATTAATGACCACACAGTAAAATTCTCTTAAAAATCTCATTTTAAGATTCTGCTGAGGCCAGATGTGACTGACAATTTACCACTTTGATTCAACTAAGAAAGAATAAAAAGCAGCGTACAGCATTCTTTAAAATCAGTTTTGTTTCACTACTTAATAAACTTATCAGAAATCTTTGTGATTTAAGTATGAAGCAAATGGGTTGTGGTTAGCCCATTCCAGGTGACATACCGCATGTCAACGCACACAACTGCACAGACATACACAGTTCCATTAGGAAATGCTTTAAAAAAATTTTTTTTAAAGAAAAGGAGAGTTCTATTTAAAAACAGCTGCCAACCCCCACACCAAACCCTTATCCTGGGAATTTGATTCCTTCAAGCCAATTCTGATGAAAGAAAAAAACAAAGAATCTTAGGAGAAAAGTAATTTTGGAATCCGGGCAATAGTAGGGAGAAGATATTGTTCCTTTCCATTTAAATGCATTGCTATGAGATTGCCTAACAGAGGTCTTATTTTCCACTTCCTTACAAGTTCCCTGTGTTGCTACTGGGATTTTTGGGGTGTTTTTTGTTGTTGTTTTTGTTGTTGTTGTTTTAAGAATCTGTCAACTCCTATCCTAAGTCCTACAGCAGCACACTTGAAAGCAAGGAGACATCACACAGGCAACTTGAAATCCCATTCGGAATGAGCCAACCACATGGAGGGGCCTCCGAGCATCCTGCCAACAACAGCAGATGGGAGCGTGGCAGAGCTGGGCACGTCCCCTCACCTCTGCCCACCCTTCCCCACCCCGGACCCACTGACCTTCTGATGACCTGTGACTTCGTCCCTGGTTCTCCCCAGCTCCTCAGCAAGTTTCACGTTCTCTTCTTGCAAAGCCGAAAGCTGCTGGGACTTCTGAGCTGATGCCTGCCTGAGGGTTTCTCTGCAAGGACAGTGAGTGCAGGGTTACCATAGAAACAAGACAGGCAAGGAAACTGTGGGAGACAACCAGCTCCACAGCACTGAGGAAAATATATCTGGGTCACGTGCCCAATGGGATCTATAACAACAGGAGGCCACAGTATCTCTGGACGAAGGGGCTGAATGGCTCTCACCTCTCAGGAGGAGGACTGCCACCCACAATCATTACATGGTTTTTTTAAGCCTGATAAACACTACATCCCACCCTCTCTCCACCCACACTCACCCACTTCTCAACATTCCCCATACAAAGAGCAATGCTACTGTAAAATAAATGACAAGCGAAATGGTCAGTCCTCTCATCTTTAAGGACTATTTCCACTAGAAAATTATGCTAAAACCCAGTATGTTGATAAAGCCAAGGTACTCTGTTCTGACTGCACAGATCCGTAATCTGGCTTTTTTTCTGGCAGAAATAAAAATCTAATGGTCCCATTTGCCAGTATCTGTTAGAGTCAAGTGCTGGCGTGAATTTGAAGATATTTTTAGGATGCCTCTTGAGGTGAAATGCCCAAAGGAAATGAGGCTTTCCAGTTACATAACAGGTGTTTCATTTTGACTGTATTCTTTCCACAATGCTGAGTTGTAATTAAAAGTAGCAAATAAAAAGATAGCCTGCGGACCTATATCATGAACATCAGCATACAGAATGTGCACAGGGTAAGTACACTTATTAAACATCTTGACAATTAAAATTATACAAAATATACATCTCATATTATCATCCTTTACACATGGATATTGAAAATACTTTATCTGATCACTGGATTTTAGTTTTCTGTCAGAGAAGGTTTTGATGCCACTATGAGATTTAAGTCTGTGTTGGCTCAACTCCATTTAGGAAGCTGTCATACATGGCTGAATCCTGAATCAAGTCCTCTGGGTATGAATCCATCTGCTGATGCAGGAACATATCTATTTTTAACATCAATTGTCTAATGGGTGGCAATGCCTGGCATCTTCAGTTTGAGTTTTAATTCTCCATCCACCTATAATATGCATACTGGGGTAAGATTTAGGGGAAGAAATCTACACAAGAATTCTGCTAGCACGTTAAATTAGGTGTTTTACAGAGACGTCTACTTAGCAAGTGAAGAAAAACAGAGAAGTAATCTTTGCTTCCAGTCATTCAAAAGCTAGGAGGGTTGATTTTAATTATGGATACACACACACACACACACACACACACACACACACAAACACACACTCTACAACTACAGCTCAAGTTCACCTTCTGGCCAAAGTCCATCAATTCTTGACAAATCTGAAGATTTTACTTAGGATGAAATCATCCTAAGTCAAATCTTTTATTCCTAGGTGGTCACTGTCTTCCTTAGGAGCTATTTGGTCTCAGCATCTGGGTAGCCTGTCAGTGATATGTTTGTGATCCTGCTCTTGGTCTCTTAAAGATTTTCATCTTTTAATGGTTTATTATGATTATGATTATTAGTTAAGCTCCATACCATGCGTGGAGCCCAGTGCAGGTTTTGAACTCATGACCTTGAGATCAAGACCTGAGCTGAGATCAAAAGTTGGATGCCTAACTGACTGAGCCACCCAGGCACCCCTTAATGGCTTTTTATTTTTTTTTTTTTTTTAATTTTTTTTTTTTTTTAATTTTTATTTATTTATGATAGTCACAGAGAGAGAGAGAGGCAGAGACACAGGCAGAGGGAGAAGCAGGCTCCATGCACCGGAAGCCCGATGTGGGACTCGATCCCGGGTCTCCAGGATCACGCCCTGGGCCAAAGGCAGGCGCCAAACCGCTGCGCCACCCAGGGATCCCCCTTAATGGCTTTTTAAATCCGTGGTTTCTATTAAAGGCCCAAACTAAAAAAAATTTAATTAATAAATAAATAAAATAAAATAAAGGCCCACACTAAAGAAAATTAAAATAAGGAGTCAAAGAAATTTCAAAATGTCCTAAAGTATTGATCTAAAAAAGCAATATTTGTTCAATGTAAAATCGATAAAATGCTTTCATGAACATTTTCTCAATCAGTCCTCAAACCCCAATGAGGCCAATATTATTTATATTTTATTTTTTTATTTTTTTTGTTTGTTTTTATTTATATTTTAAAGATGAGAAAACTGAAGCTCAGGGAAGTAAGAGATTTTCCCCAAATCATAAAGCCAGTAAGTTGTAGAAGAGAACTGGAGTTAAAACTGGTGATGGACCTCACTTGTGATTCGAATATAGAAACACCTTTCCATTTTTCTTTAGAGTGTAGCAGGGTACATGCATTTCATAGAGGAGGCTCTCACAGCTCAATTTCCAGAAATACTCTAGGCAATAATTCTGAAAATACCTACAAGTATTTCTAACAATTTTTAAAGCTATCTTTCTTTCTACATGACAGAAGACTATCTCAGTTTTAAAACTGAGAGGGAGGGGCACCTGGGTGGCTCAGTGATTAAGCATCTGCCTTTGGTTCAGGGCACGATTCCAGGGTCCTGGGATTAATACCCACCATCAGGTTCCTTGCAGGGAGCCTGCTTCTCCCTCTACCTATATCTCTGCCTCTCTCTGTGTGTCTCTCATGAATAAATAAATAAAATCTTTAAAAAAAAACACACAAATGGAGAGGCAAATACATATTGTTCACAGTGACTTGCAAACACTGTAGTTATAAGTCTATTATAAATCTATTAATCGCCATGCTAAATCTATACTAGATTTATTACTGTGCCAGTAAATACAAAAATTTAAAATCTTTAAAAAAAAACACACAAATGGAGAGGCAAATACATATTGTTCACATTGACTTGCAAACACTGTAGTTATAAGTCTATTATAAATCTATTAATCGCCATGCTAAATCTATACTAGATTTATTACTGTGCCAGTAAATACAATAATTAAACTACTTATATCATTTTCCCTAAGATTCAAAATTATATGTCAGAGAGAAAACATTTTATTTCCTCACTCCACCTGATAATAGGAGCTGGCTAACCTAAACCAAGTTTTTCTAAAATCAGTCTAGTAAATAGCATAGAAAGAACACTTAGCTACAAGCTCTGGTTTCCAGCACCAAGGGCAATATTCCGTAGGAGGTAGTTCCAGTTAGAACTCCAGTGTCTAAACTGGTGTCCATTTTCCTCCAGGAACTGAAATCCTAGGGGAGATACCAGGGAAGTTCTAAAGGACACAGAGTGCCCCATATACATGCTGAACCACAGAGAAACAATCAGCAGCTCATTCTCTAGCTTTGAGTCCTGAGGAATGAAAGAATGGTAAAATGACTGCCCCCGTGCCTTTTTTTTTTTTTTTTTTGAGAAGCATGATCCCCATTCCCATTATGTAGTATATTTATTTTAGATGGTCCCTGAAATGTGGCCAAGTCTAGGTCAGGGAACAGAGTCACTGGGGGCAGGGGCTTTCAACCTACTCCTCCTACTCTCTCCACCAGCTTCTGAAGCCTGTCCCTGGTGTCTCCTACTGCTCTGCCCTCCTGCCTAAGAACCCTAGCCACGGTGTGCCAGATTACCAACAGAAAGGGTGATTCCCCCAGGCCTGGTAGGCCAGAAAAAAGGTGTAGAAGCAAAAGCAGCACAGGCTGTCTGCCTGATGGTCCTGACTCCTCCTCAGCCAAGCTACTCCCCTCCTCAGTGGTCAGAGATGTGGGGACAATGGCTCCAGGGAGGAGGACAGGCCAAGATTAGAGAGGCAGCGGCATGGGCCACAGTCTTTTGCTCATGATCCTCTGTGTCCATAGCCAGGAGGCTAAGCTTTTATTATTCAATGGAATCATTCAAAGAAAAGCACAAAACATTCTCATAACAGAGGTAAAACCACCCCATACTAATTGGAAGTGGGTGACATGACACAGAGATCTAATGAGGACGGTGAATGCTTAAATACTAGACCAATGCAATGGCCATTACGAGAGACTCCTGAATAATCCTGTAGGAAAGAGTTTTATCAAATTCCCAAGAGCTCTCTTGGCTAGGTCATGCTGGCCCTGCCCCTCCATTACCTAGTATAGCCCAGAGAGCTCAAAGGTGGGATTATGGCAGTGGGAGGTTGGTTAAGGAATCTTCTCCTGCTCCTCAGATCCTCCCTCACCAGCTGCCTGTGACACAAATGAACTAAAGTCAACAGTGCTCCAAACTCTCTAGGTCAGCCTAATTACTTGTGTCACAGGGGAGATTCCCAAAACGGACCTGGGGCTACCCTCTCGGAGCTGATGGTGTCTCTGTTTCCCATCATGTGACCTTTCTCTCTCTGTGATGTAGCTTAAGAAGGCCGAGAAATGCAAGCTCTTCCTGATGTCCACGAGCACAACTATAAACTGAGAAATCTGTGTACGTGAACAGAAGTAGTGGGATCTATCTAAACATCGTCTAGGGGATCCCTGGGTGGCGCAGCGGTTTAGCGCCTGCCTTTGGCCCAGGGTGCGATCCTGGAGACCCGGGATCGAATCCCACGTCGGGCTCCCGGTGCATGGAGCCTGCTTCTCCCTCTGCCTGTGTCTCTGCCCCCACCCCCTCTCTCTCTGTGTGACTAACATAAATAAATAAAAATTTAAATAAAATAAAATAAAATAAACATCGTCTAGAAAAGTATCAAGTATCATTGAAACTAAGACTGAGGTACAGAAGTGCTGAATCACTACACTGTACTGCTGAAACTAACATTACACTGTATGTTAACTAACTGGAATTTAAATAAAAATTAAATACAAAAACATGAACTATGACTGAGGAAAGGATTAATCACTTGCCACCTGAATCACTCAGATGAGATTCTTTCTTGGGGGATTTTAGGAACTCTTAGAAACCAACATGTAGCAGGTTTAGTCCAAGCTTGATCAACAAATTGTATTGAGAAAAGAAAAAAAAAATCGTATTGAGGATGGTGACTTGGAACTGATGCTTCTGTTTGATCAGAACTAGAAGTAAATAATTTAAGCCCTGGAAGGGCAGGAGCCATATAAATCCATCCTTGTATCCTTCCTAGCATGGAAGACACTCAAACGTTTACCTCATTAACTGGCTTTAAATGTTGAGGTTCACATAGTTGGTATGGTACAGCTCTCTGAAGAGTAAATGAAATCTACACTGAAACTATCATTTAAAATGCCAGATAAACAGCAATAATTATGAGTATCAGACTTGAAAGGCAAGGATTTGGAGGTGGTGCTGACAAAGGAAACATGGCCAGCCTGTCTACCTGAAACTGATGTAGTAGACTGGTGGTTAACCTCCATTACCAAGATTCTTCTAGGGCAGCCTGGGTGGCTCAGCGGTTTAGCGCCACTTTCAGTCCAGGGCCTGATCCCGGAGACCAGGGATCAAGTCCCATGTCGGGCTCCCTGCATGGAGCCTACCTCTCCCTCTGCCTGTGTCTCTGCCTCTCTCTGTGTCTCTCATGAATAAATAAATAAAATCTTTTTTTAAAATTTTTATTTATTTATGATAGTCACACACAGAGAGAGAGAGAGAGAGGCAGAGACACAGACAGAGGGAGAAGCAGGCTCCATGCAGGGAACTTGATGCGGGACTCGATACTGGGACCCCAGGATCACACCCTGGGTTGAAGGCAGGCACTAACTGCTGAACCACCCAGGGATCCCCAATAAATAAAATCTTAAAAAAAAAAAAAAGAAAGAAAAGATTCTTCCAGAGTTCTTTCATCTTGTTTCCATACCAAGAGGTTTGATTCCTCTTAAAAATCAAGATTATTAATATGCTTGAGAGTGACAGGTTTTCTTTCTCGCTTCAGGAAGGGCTTTGAGAGATTTATTAATAAAGGGTCTGAGGTTTCAGATCCTTTAAAGTACACTGCTTGGTGCGCCTGGGTGGCTCAGTGGATGATCCTGGGGTCCTGGGATCGAGTCCTGCATTGGGCTCTCCACAGGGAGCCTGCTTCTCCCTCTGCCTGTCTCTGCTTCTCTGTCTCTCATGAATAAATAAATAAAAATCTTAAAAAAAAATGCATGGTGCTTTAGAAAAAAACTCATTCCTCTTGTATTTTATTCATCAAGTCATATTCCAATCCCAAACATCTTTACTTGTCAGCCAGCACACATTTTGCTTTGATCCTTTAACCCAACTATCGGTGTGACTTAGCTACCTAACAGGTAAGTGGCTATAGGTAAGTTACATCTCAGGCGTGCTGGGAGCATTGGGGAGGAGAAAGGGGAGAATTATTTTTTACTTTAAGTACTTGTCAAGCTATTTTTTTTAAATAACTAGTATCGTTTTCACTTTTGCAATATTAAGTCCCATAGTTTATCTCAAAGGAGATGAACTTACATTTCTTTCCTAAACTCTTCCATTTTTTGGTTCTCTACCGTCAGAAGTTCTTTTGATTTGTTCAGCTCTTCCACGTTCTTCAAGTTGTTTTCCTTAAGTGTATCCAACTTAAAGACCAAGAAAAAAAACTGAATGAAATGATTTCATTTTCCAGGGACATGACTGGATAGACAAATTATTCATGCAAATGGGCACTAAAAAGACGAAATTAGTCACTTGAAAAAAAAAAATACAGAAAAAGTCACCAGGTGAGGAGATGACAAACAACCACATCTATTACAAACTGCAAACCTCCCCCTTATATTTAGTCAGACATTTCCTGTACACCCGGCCAAACTGTCAAACTAAATTGGTATGTGGATTACAACAAAAGTTTGCTTTCATTTCGTGTACAATTCTCAATATTTACGATTGAACCTACTATTCAAGTATGACCCCTCTTAAAACAACAAAAAAGGCCCACAAGAAATAAGTTCCAAAGGCATGACATCAGCAAGAATTACTCTTTGTAATAAAAACAAAAATCCCTTTCCTTTCCCACAGATTAGTAATTTTGGATGTATTTGTCAACTTTAGTACCAAATGGACGGAGTTCTGACTATAAGAATTTTTTTAATCAAGTATCTGTAGGTAGGAGAATATTTGGTTATCCATCTTAACTTGGATCTGAAAAGAAGAAAGCCATGCAGTGAGGCAGAAAAGCACTCACATTCGTCCAGCCCTATCACGGGCCCACAGGGAATGCAGCCAGCTCAGGGCCTGGCCCTGGTGGGAAAACTGGACATGTTCCTGGGATGAGTGAGGATACGACCAACTATACAGGCTCTGGCAGGTGACAGGAGTTCTAGGTGAGGAGCCTCTAGCAAGGATAGGGAGCTCATTCCGAGCCATCATTGCCCAGGGTATGTTTTCTGATGCCACGGTGGCTTCCTGGGACTTGGGTAGTCATCCCCTACAGTCAGAGATACCTTTGCCACATTACATGCCACCAGTCAGGAGTCCTAAACAGTGCCTTGATAGCTTTACCATCATGATATTCCTTTTAATGCCCTCTACAACTAAATAGAGGAATCTGGAATTCCAGATTCACAGAGCAAGAAAAACCAAGTATTGCAATGGGTCCCAAAAAATTATTCATCCAGTCTTGTATTCTGGTTGTGACAAGGACACCAAGGGCTGTGTCTTGAAAACACAATTCTCCCTGATTCTATCCTCAAAAATTAAATATATTCCTAAAATCTTCTCATTTAGCTTCTGTGATTATTTTTTTAATGCTTTTTCTTCTTTTCTCAGGACTATCAATTTTGTAAATGTACCTTCTTCTATATCTAGTTTTATTCACCCTATAATTATCTCAAAATGTGCATATCTTTCCAGATCTCCATCTCTGATCTTCCATAATGAGGTCTAGCCTCTATGAAGCAGCTATTCAATGTGGCTAGCCCTTCCCCTGCTTTGATTCCTTAATGTCTCACCTGACCATCCCTTTTAAAAGTATCTGAAGTTCTATGGAACTTCACGTATCTACTCTGGTGAATCAATCTGCTTAGGGTTGAGAGGTAACTGCTTCCCAAAGAAAGGGTTGGAGGAGCTGGGAGTGGGGAGCAGGGGAATAAAAAATGGGTCCAGGAATGAGAAATATGCTCCTTTGGAAAGAATCAAAGTGATCTCGATGCCACTAGTCTGAGACCCAGAAGTGGCTGATTGGAGAGGACACAGAAGGGAACCAACCAGGGCTGAATGAGGCCAAGAAAAGGTCTATGTCAAACTCAGAGCTGAGAAGTGGAATTTAGTGGCTCATGCTGGGAAAGAGTTGAGGAAAAAAAACGTGTGTGATTTAAGATAAAAGATACAAAAACAAGAGAGTGTCATGAGTACCTCTCTCATCAATTCCATCATTGAAGGTACCACAAAGCCACACTATCAGGGTTTTCCCCTCACTTCTTTAAACGTTGATCCCACTAAGTGAATAATGAAGTAATACACTTTATTTAATATTATTGTGCTCCTGGTGTACATTCGACTCCACTAACACAGATCCAACCTGCATGAGGCCATACTTCAAAAAAATAAACAATCCCAAGTTAGTGATCAAGCATTCCATGAAGTCGATAAGCTGTCCTTTGTACAAAAAGCCATTTAAATCTGATTACTTCATTCTGTAGTTTTTCATTTGTTTGCTTGGTATCCTCCAAGGACGCCAGAGTTTCACTCTTCTCTTTGGTCATCTGTTCCATTATCTGCATGGCGTCTTCTGCCGTTTGAGCAGCCTGAATATAAAAAAGCTCTGTGAGAAATGAGGGCAGACCTGAGCAAGCCTGCTGGGGATGCTCAGGCTGTGCTGCTCGGGCAGCCCTCACTGTCTGTGTGGCTAAGGTTAAGGGCCAGTCACCAATCCGATGCCAAGGCAAACAGACAGACGTGAAAGGGGAAGAGAGTTACAGACCCTTTCCATGCCATTCTTCAAACAAGCCAACTGCAATATACCATCTGTGTATTTTCAGACCCTTCTAAACCTGTCTTCCAAGCTCCAAAGTTATACTGTCACGCCCATCATTCTGACCTATATTTGAGAGAAACATTCAGTGATAATAAACAGCAACATCCTTACGTAGCTGAATTTTCCCTTAATCATATTTATTGCTGTATGTTTGAAATACTATTCTTTGCTATTTCAGATTTGGGGCTTTTGAAATCACTTGTCATTTAGGTTGGTAATTTCTCAAGTAAAAATAAAAATTATTTGGGCAATTATTAACATAAGGCTCAAGTGTTTAATGAGAAGCATTAAATGGAAAAGTCTATGAAGGAAGCTGTGGTAATGAATATAAACATGGCTGTGAATAAAAAAGATAATGTGCATATGGACACAAAACCTTAGCTGATAAAATATAAAAATAAAAATAATTATAAGAAATAAAATTTTGTGTTTATTTCTTGTTTTTCATAAAAAATAAAACATTCTTAGGCACTTGCTTATAAGTTCATGTGGTCTAACAAAACTTATGGAAATTCTGCCTTATGCCTTCCCCACCACCAGCCATGGAGAGCTCACTGGAGTATTCCAACTCCAAATGGACAGACACAAGGAAACAGTTAAAAGTCAAACAGAAGATACTATGTTTCACAATGTGCCCATTTTACTCTTGTTCTTAATCCTTTAAGAACCACAGCTGACTTTTTGAAGAAAATGTCTCCTTAAATTAAAACATATATCCTTTTTATTCACAGTTTACAATTCTTTCCAACAGGGAAAGACAACTGCAATTAGAGATTTAGTAAAGAACTGCCCCTTCAGGTGGGAACAAACACATGAGCTTGAGACACATGAGCAACTGCGAAAGTGTGTTGGCGGGGGCGGGGTGCATTTCCTCAGGTGGCCACAAAGAAGACAAGACCCCAAGCCCCCCGGGGCGCTGGGAAGTTAGTACACGGGGTTAGTAGTCCAGGTCTGGTCCCTGACCCTCCCATTTTACCGTAAATGACTGAAGAGTCTCGAGCTCTCTAATTTTAAGAGTGAGCTTGCTCTTGTCTTTCCTCAAAATACGGTTTTCATTTTGAGATTCTAGGAGGTTGGCTGAGATATGGCTGTTGGTTTTGGCCAATTGGCTAATCTCTTTCTGAAGGATGAAGTAGCTTTCTGCCAGCTTCTCCTTCTCCTTCAGGAGCTCCTCCTTCGTCAGCATCATGTCTCTCTTCTCGGCCAAGAGGTTCTTGTTGTCTTGCACCACCTTGATGCGATCAGCCAGAGTCATCTCATGCTTCAGCCGGAGGTCGTCCAAGATCTTGGTGAGGTAGCTGTGTAGCTCCTGCAGCTCTAACTTGGACTTGGACAAGGTGGTGAAATCACTCTTTAGAGTCTCTATATTGGCAGCAAGCTGGGCCGTTTCTGCACTCAGGAGTTCCTTCTCCTTAATTATCTCTACCACTTTCTGCTCAGACTTGGTCTTCTCTTGGACGAGTGCAAACTTTTCAGACTGCAGCTGCTTCGTACACCCTCTTAATTCTTCCAGCTCCTGCTCTAGGAGCACCACCCTCCCGTGAAGTTTATTGTTTTCATACAGGGAGGACTCGTTTTCCTGTGCTCTGGCTTCTTTTTCCAGGATGAAGGACTGCTGTATTCTGTGGATCTCCTCGTTTAGTCTCTGACACTCTTCTTGCAGGCTCAGCCCGTCCCGTAGCAAGATGCTCTTTTCCGAACAGCAAGTCTGAAGTTCAGCATTCAGACTCTCCTTTGCTTGCAGGATGCTCGTGTGCTCTTTTTCTAGACTCTTCTTAGCATTTTGAGCCTCTTTCAACATCAGAGAGAGATCACACTTGGTGGCCGCCAGCTCCTGGTTTTCCCTTTTCCTCTCCTGAAGCTCCTTCTTCAGTGTGTCGAGATTACCGAGGAGTTTCATCTTCTCGTGCACGATGATTCTTCTGTTGGCAGACTCCTGATCATATTTCCGTTTGAGGTCTCCCATGGTTTTCATGGAATTCTCTCTTTCTGCAAGCAAATCTCCATTTTGCATTTCCAAGACAGACTTTTCCTTCAAGAGACTGTCATGCTGCTTTTTGAGTTTTGCAATTTTCTGACATACCACCTCCTTCTCAGAAAGCAGGTAAGTGATCTTCTCGTTCAGGCTCACTTCGATTTGGGTGGCCTCTTCTGAGCATTTCTTCAGCTTTTCAGTGACGAGTCTGTTTTCACTTAGAAGTTCTTCTTTTTCAGCCAAGAGTCTTCTCTCGGATGAAGCCAAGGTTTCTTTTTCATGCAGAAGCTGGATGCACTCCGAGTCTGTGATCTCCCGACTGGTCTTGATTTCTTCCAGGAGCTTGCTGAGGCTGGTATTTGTAGCCTGAAGCTGCCTCATCTCCAGCTCATCCTTTCTCAGAGCCCGCTGGGCATCGTCCAGCTGTGTGCGGAGCCCACTGGCTTCCGTGCTGAGCAGCTGCTTGATCTGGATGGCGGCCTCCAAGCTGGCACTCAGCTTTTCTCGATCTTGAAGAAGCATGTCCTTCTCAAACTGCAGATCTTTGCTGCTTTGGAGAAGATTTTCTCTTTCCACTTTCAAGGCTATGCACATGTTATCAAGACCTGACTGCTTCTCCAAAGCTGACTTTTTCTCAGTCGTGAGATCTTCAATCTCCTGCACCAAGGTTTTCTGATCTTTGACTAGTTCCTCATAAGAGCTCTGGAGCTTCTGAATAATTTCATCTTTATCTTTAGCCAAGGCAAGATTTTCAGTAACAAGCTTCTTGATATGATCCTCCAGGTGATCTTTTTCTTCCTGATCCTTCTTAGACTCAGCAATCAAAGTATCTTTGCTGAGGTGGAGCTCTTCTATGAGTGCCTGCAAGTTTGCTCTGGAAACCTGCAAAGAGTCATTTTCCTTACTGACCTTCAAAAGTTCTGCCTGTGCAATATTGACTTCTCGTAGTAATTGCTCTCTCTCAACCACCAAAGCTTCTTTATGGAGCTGTTCCTGCTGATGAAGCTTTTCAGCATCTTGCTTTTCTTCTAAGGCTTTCTCTTTTTCTAAATGAAGAGTTTCATTTACCAACCACAGTTTCTGTTGATCTTCCTGAAGTAAAGTTATTTTGGCCTCCACCTCTACCAGCTTTGATAAAAGTGAACCTTTTTCTAACTTTAAAGCATTCCCCTCCTGTGCAAGAAGCTGCTTCTCTGATTTCAGACCCCTCAGCTCTTCTGACATTAGTTCAATTTCTTTTTTGGCTGATGTTAACAAATAAGTTAGCGACTACAGAAACAAAAGATGGAAAGAATGGAAACAAAATGAAGTCAAGCAGACAAATGCGAGCCCAAATAACTTAATGTAACCTAAATCATAAAAGTTTGAAATTTTTTAAACAGTAACTGTCATAGAAACTATCTAGATAACAAGAGGGGAAACCTAGATAAAAAGAGCCCACAAAAGGTTAATACAAAGCAGGTTTAGTGTTGCCAAGTGCTAGTCTACCCACTGGTTTATCTTTGCAACATTTTTGAAATCATCCCTGAGTGGCACCTATGAGGTAAAAACAATCTTTTGACTTTGATATCAGGGGATGAGATTCTTTCCTGCCCTTCCAACTTCCCAATTATTTCTATTGTTGGAAGAATTCAGAAAAGAATTTTAAAAAATACAATCCAGAGAACTACAAAAAGTGAGTATGTTTTAATCAAAAAAGGGAGGGAAAAGGTGAGGGAAAATAAACTATTGCTTTTCAAACTAACTACAAGACCTTAACTTTCTAAAGGACAATCACTGGCCTAACTTGATCCCAATATTACATATAACTTATTAAAAGTATAGACCAATTTGCTAAGCTTTGGTGACTAAAATAAATGGGTTTAAAAAATACATACATACATACATACATACATATACATACATATATATATATATATATACACACACATATACATACATATATATATACTGGTTTATAAAATGACTTGACCACATTATCTATACTAGTGCTTTCCAGAACCTCCTGCAGTGGTGTGAGTTTCTTTATCTGAATGAATATGGTAGTCTCTGATTATGTGTGTGGCTTGTGAGCACGTGAAGTCTAGTGAGTACAACTGAGAAGTTAAATTTGTAATTTATTAAAATTTAACAAATTCAAACTCAAATTGATGTGGCCAATGGCTAGTATCTTGGACAGCACAGCTACAGATCACCAGCTCTTAAATGAGGAAATGCAGCAATTTTGTAGGTTCCATGAACCTCCTAATACCTTATATAAAAACTTGCTGAGAATATAAATTTTCCCAGAGGAAAACATCTTAAGTTTCATCAGATTAAAATCTGTGGGCCACTGTTGTTGACAAACACTGAAATCCATAGAAATCAGGTATTGAGACAACTTTGGAAGAGAACAATCCTAACCAAATAACCCTTGTAAAAAATTTTTTTTAATTTAAAACATCAGTAAGCAAAATTCATGAGCCTTTACACAAACTAGAATGCTGTGGTTTGGTCAGACTGCAACATTTATAAGGAAAACATTAAAAAAAGTGGAGTCTGTCCAGATAAAGGGAACCACAAAGACAAAAGGTCTGGAAATTATATCTAGTGTTAAATGGCTCATAAAGCTGGAGATGTTCTATAGGGAAAGACAAAGCCTTGAGGGCGGCATGGAGAGGAGAGAGAGTGCACGTATATATACATAGCACGTGTTATGTCATAGTCCAATTTAATTAAGTTTTAGGTGGGATTTGTTTCATGTCTTACGTATGCTCTTTTACATTTCCTTTTTACCAAACTCCTAGACAAACATTAAAAATAATAAAAGACAAGTATTTACTTTTCTTTGAGCAAGTTCAATGGTGGCAGGAAAAAATTAAATACTGGCAGGACAGTTGAACTTCATTATCTTACCAGAGTAAAAAAATATACTGGGTTGCAGATATGATCCTGATGCCATAAAATGAAATTTAATGTATTACATTCTATTCTATTTAATAACAGGATGTTTCCTCACAGCCCCTGTCTCCAGCTTCCCTGCCAGGGAGCTCAGAGTGCTTTCCGGGGACATATAAAAGCCCTACAAAAGCCCTCTCTAGAACCCTCGCTTCTAACATGCCCTATAGGAGCCCTGCTTCTCCAGCACTCACTTGCTTTGCTTGGCCTCTGCCTGTTGTTTTGCTGAAAGATGTTTCTCCTAACCTCAGGGCAAGGTGGTGGCAAGATGGCCAAGATTGGAGGCCACAAGAGGGCCTCCTGCAAGCCAGCAGACAGAGCTCAGGCTACATGAGCCTGTGTGACAGCTGGGAAGCAAGCAGCACAGGGGTGAGGGGATGATGGCTACACAGTACACTCAGAGGAAACACCTGTATGGCAGCCATCACCACACTGGAGAAGGAACAGCAGCTGGCAGAAAGAGCTGGAAGCCAGGAAAATGTAATTCGCCATCCTGCCATGCACTCAGAGGTTAGCACCTGTAATGGTCACTGTTACCCATCCCATCTGCTGCTGCTTTATAAGCCCCACTGCAGCCCTGATGCCATGTGGCACCATGATCCTCTCCTAAGAACATACTTTGGCTTTGTCGGCTTGCTTTTTCAGTTCCACCATCTCCTGCAGCAAGTCACTGTTCTTCTCCTGTGCAGCCTTCAGCCTCTCCTCTGTGTCCGACAGCATCTTATGCAGGTTCTGTAGGACCGCTTCGTGCTTCGCCTTCATGTCACAACTGGCTTCCTCGAACCTGGTTTTCAGATCCTGGCACTGGTTGTGGCTCATTTCCACCTTTTTTTCCTACAGAGATCCGAAGCAAAGCAGTAAGTCATCTAGCCATATGTGCCCCACCTTCACCTTCCTTGCCAGCACACAGTCTCATTTACTCTCTCACCAGGTCCAACAATTTCCTCAGAAGCTCTTTCTTTTCTTCCTCGTGCTTTTTAGCTGCTTCCTGCTGGCTCTGTTCCGCTTGGAGAGTTACTTCCCCAATACTCTTCTGCAGAAAGTTTGCATTTTCATTCGCCTTCGTCAGTTTCAGCTGTAATTCTTCTACATTTCTAGAATAAGGTTCAACACAAGGTGTCAGAGTTTTCAAAAGAATGCTTTAAATTCCAGAGTTACACTTGGAAAGATACTATTAATAATTGTATTAACGATTAGAAGTTAGGAGTAATTGGGCAGCCCGGGGGGCTCAACGGTTTAGTGCCGCCTTCAGCCCAGGGCCTGATTCTGGAGACCTGGGATCAAGTCCCACATCAGGCTCCCTGCATGGAGCCTGCTTCTGCCTCTGCCTTGTGTCTCAGCCTGTGTGTGTGTGTGTGTGTGTGTGTGTGTGTGTCATGAATAAATAAAATCTTAAAAAAAAAAGTTAGGAGTAATTAATAACATCTGAAATAAAAAAAATGACCTGGCTTGCCCTGAAGACTAATTTGAACAATTGAGATAGTTATAAATACATTATTTAGAATGACAATTACTATAATTGTGAAGGTTTATTACTTTGTGTCAGTAGATCAGTAAGGAAAAATTAGCGAAAAGTAACTTTATATGAGAAAATGAATTATTTAGTAAGTTTCAAAAATTTTAGCAGACTAGATTATCATAAACTCATTCTAATGTCACCTGAGAACAGAAGATACAAAAATGACAAGTGCTAATTTGAAGATCTAGCTTCGAGACACCCATGTGGTTCAACAAGATGTACAGAAGACATGGGACACAAATCCAGAGAATGGGCTAGGAGAAGACTCCGAGAGTAGAGGAGGGAAACCGGGATGGTCCCTCTGAGTCACACATCTGCCGAACACCCGCAGAGCTGGAGCTCTCCACCCACAGGCACCATGCCACAACCACCTGTGCAGCTCCACCCACCTCACAGCAAGTCTGACCACAAGTGGTCAACCAAAGCCCTCTCACCAACCCCTTGCCCCCTGACACTGAACTGTAGGGGCGCATGGGTGGATGTAGACCTAGCTGCCAACTAGTCACACTTTCAGAATCATGGGTCTCAGAGCCCTAAAGTGTCCTCTAAAACTTCTTCCCTTACAAAATAAAACATTTGATTTTTATCCAGCAGCTATTCAAAGAAAAAAAGGATCAGAGCAACAATAGCCTCAGAATAAAGAAAGGAAGAGAGGTGAGGACAATGGAAGCTATAGTGGTGAAGGGCTGCAAGGGCTCTGGGACCAGCCTGCCCAAGTCTGAAACCACAGGCAAGTTACTTCACCTCATGAAGCCTCAATGCCTTTCTCTTCAAGATGGGAACAAGAATACACTCACCTCCCAGGATTACTATGAGAAATCAGAAAACACACTCTACTATAGCTGTCAGCATAGTGCAAGGCACACACCTAGTTAGCCTGTAATACAGTTACCCTTCATTACATTGAAACAAGTTAAACACGTTAGCTGCCTGTGAAAGATGTTCCAGCCCCTGGTAAATTACTACCTTTTCTTTACAAATCATCAAGTCTACAATACTATATTACTCAGAAGTCTCTATAGCTGATTTAAGGGTACACTCACATACTGACATAAAGGAAGAGCGACAGGAAAGTTTAAAATAGAAGAATCATGAAATTTTGACTCCCCTCCCTCCTAGACTGCACTTCAGAGGTGAACCTAAATCAGGAGCCCTTAAAACCATTCATACGTACCTTTTTTTATTTTTTAAAGATTTTATTTATTTATTCATGAGAGACACACACAGAGAGAGAGGCAGAGACACAGGCAGAGGGAGAAGCAGGCTCCATGCAGGGAGCCCGACGTGGGACTCAATCTCGGGTCTCCAAGATCACACCCTGGACCGACGGCAGCGCTAAACCGCTGAGCCAACCAGGCTGCCCCATACGTACCTTTCTTTCAGACGTAACTCATCATTCATTTTTGTCAGCTGAGAAGAATTGTCTCCGGACATCTTCATGATTTCTGCAATGTCATTTTCTAACTTTTCCTTTGCCTTTATCAACTGTTCTTCTCTTTCATCTCTCTCTCTAAATTTTGCCTCCATATCTGAATATACATAGGAAAAAAACAGCACTGTAGTGTTATAGTCAACAAAAATTTACTGCCTGTGTCCTGTATTCCAAGTTTTGCTCTGGGGATATTTGTACATAGCAATCTCTGCTCTCATAAAAATCATATCCTAGCCAAGAAGACAGACAATAAACTAGATTTTTTTAAAACCCCACAAATAGCATAAAAAGTGTTAATTCCAAAAAAAAAAAGTGTTAATTCCTAAAAAAGAAAAAAAAAATACAAGCAGAGAAAGGAACTAAGAAGGAGTTGGGGAGGCTAAAATAAAATCTCAAGCAGGGCCTCTCTGAATTGTGACATTTTAATAAAGACCTGAAGGAACTTAGGGAAAGCAAGTGCAAAGGGTAGTAAAAGAGGCAATCAGAGAGGTAACAGGGCTTGACAGTGTGACTGCAGTTTTTTACTGAGGGAAATGGGAGCCACTGGGTGATCTCGAGCAGAAAAGTGACATGACTTAGCAAAAGGACAGCTTTGGCTGCTGTGCTACAAATGGACTGAAGGGGACGAAGGCAAAAGCAGGCTGAGTAGGTGCCCAGCCATTGTAGCAGCTCAAGTGAAAGAAGATGTTGGCTTGAATGAAGGAGAGTGGGCAGAGTGAGAGGAGTGGTGATGTGTGGTGGATTCTGACTTGTTTGAAAACACAGCAGAGAGGATTTGCAGATGTTACTGACACCAAGAAAGTATTTTATCCTATTATACCACATTAATGAATGAAGAAGTGAGTCCTGAATAGATGTTACTGTAATTTACTACAGTTATCTCAAATCCTAGGAAACCTACTGTACTCAGTGTTTAGGAAACAGAGACATCTTACCTGTTAAATTTTCTCTCAACTTCTCCAATTCAGTAGACAGTGCATTAAACTGTTCCTCCTTTTGGTGTAACTTATTTACAGTTTCTATTGAGGATAAAGTTAAAAGTTTAATATATTTCATACTTAGTATGACATCTAGAGGTTGGCAGTCTTACGACCAAATCAAATCACAGCCTTGGGATTTGATAGGATAGAAATACTAAAAAAGTCCCATTACACATGAAATCACTGTGTAATGGATCTAGAGAAGCAAGCATGCATCTTTTTTTGCCTTCTCATGTCTGTGGATTAGGCAAGCACCAGGTATCCCTTTCCAGGCCTCTCTTTCCTCTTTCTAGCTAAAACTCAATAAAGTAATCAAGGACTAAAGATTCAGTAAAGGAGTATTTTTCCCAAAGTATACTTAATTTTAAGATGAAACAAGCTTTTAGTCATACGAAGAAAGAATTTAATGGGAGTTTGAGGCTTCAGGAAGCCAGTGCAATCTGGCATGACCACGTGCTGCAGAAGCTTCCAGAAGAGTGGCAGCAGACTATAAGAGCATCTATTCCATGTACTCCAGAGGCCAGCTCCAATCTGAGAATGTGACATTCTCTAAAGCCATACTTTAGTAAAACATACCTTGCATGCTTCTCTGAACAGAGACTGCCTCCTCTGAAGCATCAGCAAACTTTTCTTTCTAAAATTAAGAATTGGATATTCAGAATAGAAAGACTTCAAACTATAGAAATAAGTTTCAATTAGTTATAACTACAATACTATCTACTTTTTGTGACTGATTTTGTTTCATCAAAACTTAAGACATGTAGACACCAAGTACTACCATATGCATACTGTGCATGTACATGACACAGGTGAACGAGATTTACATCTACATCTGTACACGTGTGTGTATACAGAAGCATATGTGTTTATGCATATATGTTGCACATGTGTATGCTTTTTTCATGTTGCTACCCTCAGCACAACATCTCTTCAGAAATCTGCCTGAGACAGTGGTCAGAATTCTGATATGTTTTATATCTGAGAGTAACCAGAGACTAATATCTTGAAACTGTATCAACTACCTCTTAAACCAAAAAGGCCCACTGCTCACCTATTCTTTTCTAAACACAAGAGATTAAAACAAACAACTGCTCTCCTGGTTTCCCTGAGATGAATTCTGAGCTAGATACACCAAGAAAAATTTTAATTAGTATTTCTAACCATTTAGGATTAGGAAAAATATGGGCACACAAGCCACACAGGTCCACCAAAGTCTAAATGCTGTCCACCTGTGTTATTCCCACAGAGTTAAGAGGCAAATTTTCTCCTCAGAGTACACAGAGGTATACGCTAACTTACAAGAAAAGTAAAGCATCCTGAAAGTTTGGCGGGGAGAGGGAGGAGGCCAGAGAAACAGTATGGAACTCAAAATACATTTTCTTAACGGATATCATATTAGAAAATCGTGATTTGCAGGCCAATTTGTTCTCAAAATGTAACTAAAATACTGTATATCAAAACTGTCCAACATACCATCCACCATGATGGAAATACTTTATCCTGTGCCATTCAATATGGCAGCTACTAGCCACACACAGCTATGAAGCACTTACAATGTGGCTAGTACAACTGAAGAACTGAATTTTAAATTTTATTTAATTCATTTAAATATATATAGTCATATAGGGACAGTAGCTATGGTAATGAACAGGCAGCTATATATTTAACGTTTGAAAAACTAGAAACTCGTAATATTGGCATTAAAAAAAAAGCAAACATTCACCTCTAGTACTAGCACAGAAGTGTAATAAGTGGGGGGAAAAGATGGTATATGGAGGGATCTAAGACAAGCGTCCCTTCCTAACTCATGTTGCTCTCACTCAGTTTCTCCATAAGCCTACAACCTTCCCTTCCCGTGATGTGTGCTTATGGTTGTCAGTCTTTACGAAGTTCCATTTCTGATGCAGGAAGAAGGGAGAATAGTTGAGAAAAGGTAAGGGAAAAAAAATGTCTTACAACTAACTTGTAAGGCAAGAGGACATAAGTTGAAAAGAAATATAATTTCCTGAGGAGGAATAAACGGAGTTGGAAGAAATGGTTCCTTGAATTTGTTGAGTTGGACAGCACCCTGCCATCCTGACAGGGGGTGCCAATGGTCCAGGACAGCTCTCTCTGGAGGGCTGTCACAGGCAGGTAGGAGCGTAGCATAAGATCTCATTATAAATGAAACCTAATGTGTTGGGTATATAACTTGGGAGTTCCCTGTGTTTAGCAAAACCAACCAATAGGCCAAAAAGCCACATTCACCATAGTCAAAGGATAGATTTAGAAAAGAAAAAAGTAATACCTACCTTTATTGCTAGTTTGGGTTTGATCCCATTCCCTTCGAGCTATTTGTCAGCCAATGACTAATACACTCAATTTAAATCAATACTTTGAAAGAGAAAGGAAAGAGGTGCAGTACATTTGTCTTTACAGAGATTTTTGTTTTTGAAACAGGAACCATTCAAACAGCTAGAAACCCTGAGACACAGATTCCCAGCAGGTACTTACCAAAATCTGAAGTTCTTTTTCCAAAGCCTCTTTCACTTGACTGACTTCACTCAAGTTTTCCTGAAGGTTATTAAGTATTAGATCTTTCCCCTGCAGCTCTCTGGTAATGCTACTAGCCTACCATACAGAGTAACATGGTGCAAAGCAAATGAACAAAAGGAAACAAAAAAGAATGAATGAGAAACACAAAATAAAACAAATATAAAAACATATGAGAAACAAACACAACCAAACAAAACTCAAAGAAATAATGGCATGGGTGTTTAAAAAAAAAAAAAGTCATTTTTCTTGTTGTTGTTAATTCTAAGAAGCCAATGACTTTTCCCAGTTTTAGATAGGATGATCTGACAATTATTTAAAATAGTCAAAACAGACTATTTTTCTATATTGAGATTTGGAATATCAGAATAATCTAAAGCAGAAAGTGCAGATGCTTACTTTCTAAATGGGTAAGTTAGTCAGCACTTTCATTTTCTGCACTTTAAAGACCATCAAGCAGGAAGATACACTGTTATTTTCTCTTTTTTAATTTTTATTTATTTATGATAGTCACAGAGAGAGAGAGAGAGGCAGAGACACAGGCAGAGGGAGAAGCAGGCTCCATGCACCGGCAGCCCAAGGTGGGATTCGATCCTCGGTCTCCAGGATTGCGCCCTGGGCCAAAGGCAGGCGCCAAACCGCTGCGCCACCCAGGGATCCCTATTTTCTCTATTTTGTATACACTTAAAGTAGTTCAACATTTTTTTAAAAAAATGTTAATGTACTAGACAACAGTCATCAGAAATTGGTTTTCATAAAATTTTGATGTAAAAAAGGTTGACCAACCTTTAGCTACATATTCTCTACAAATTAATTTTCATAATTTGTTTATTATTTTGGGTTCAAGTGAGGAGATTTGAGAGAAACTTCCTGTAATTAGCCTCTTATTTTTTTAAAGATTTTATTCATTTATTCATGAGAGACACAGAGAGAACACAGAGACATAGGCAGAGGGAGAAGCAGGCTCCTCACAGGAAGCCCGATGTGGGACTCCATCCCAGAACTCTGGGATCACGCCCTGAGCTGAAGGCAGACCTCAACTGCTGAGGCACCCAGGCGTCCCAGCTTGTCACCTTCAACTAAGATTACTTAGCAATTTTTCGGTTTGTCCTCACATCTCCCTGTCTAACCTTACAACCCTTTGCCAAAGAAGCAGCTTCTCCTGCAAAAAGCTCAGAACATTCCGCCTCAGGATGCTGGTGCCTCACCAGTGGCAAGGGGACTAGGAGGGAGCATTCATTCCTCAAACAGTCCTTAAAGATGAAGATGACATCTGACAAGGCTAATTAGAAAGAGATATTGCTGGCAAATGTTTCATGCAATTTCCTATGCCTTGACCAAAAGCATACTTGTCTTTCTCCAAAAAGGCAGAAAATAGAATGCGTTCTCACTACGGCATAGGAGAAGCTCTCCAATGGGACGGAAATGGTGATGCAAAGGGCTCCAGGCTCTTAGCCTTATTTCGCTATATTACTTAGCACAGCATGTTAATTTACAACAGTCAAGTGGCACTCAGCATCTACAGTGTGCCTTTGTATATGATCTTATGAATAGGACAATGACATTAATGGGAAAGGAATAGGAAATAATAATATAATATGCATATAATAATATAATATGCTCCTTTCTTGTCTATTCCTTCATTTACCTTAACACCATCATCTTAGGGAGTTCTCTATTTTAAAGAGATTACAGGGGTATGTGGGTGGCTCAGCTGGTTGAGCGTCCAACTCTTGATTTTTTGCTCCTGTCATGATTTCAGGGTTATGGGATCAAGCCCTGAGTCAGGCTCTGCATTCAGCAGGGAGGCTGCCCGAGATTCATTCATTATCTCTCTCTCTCTCTTTCTCTCTCTCTCCTCCTCCTCCTGCACATGTGCTTTCTCTCAAATAAATAAATAAATCTTTAAAAAGAAATTACAGACTAGAACCAAGCCTAAACAGATTAAAAAGCATGGCCCAGAGACAAAGTCACAAAGTACCCAGATACTAGGAAACCAAAATAAATTCACCTAGTTGAGCCATTATTTTCTCTAATCTCCTCAAATGAAACCACACTCAAGATAGTCAGAGGACACTGCATGCCACTGGGCAACCTGCTAACACCAAACAATCTGCTGTAATTAAATCTGGAATTTGGAAGATGTATGAGCTCCACTCAAAAGTGACATAAAATGCAAAGTGATACTGACAAACAGAAAATAAAAGGAATGGAGGACACCAATACAAACCTTGCCACTCTCAGTATTCTTTTCAATCTCTAAATTTTTAATCTGTTTCTCAGCTGCCTCAAGCTGCTGTCTAAGTTTCTTGATTTCCGATTTACCTTCGGAACTGGCTTTCCGAAGTGCATCAAGATCCAAGAGCTTTTCTTCGGTAGCCTTGAGCTGTGATGTAAAATTATCAATAACCTTGGTTTGTTCATTGCATTTGGCTTGTAGTACCTCTAGCTCCTTTACCTTTGTCTCAGCTTCCTGCAATTTGCTTAAGGTGTCCTCCATCTCTACTAGATGCTGGTCTTCCGCTTTGTCCAGCTTCGCCTTGATGGCTTCCAGGCTGCTCTCCTTCTCTTTAACGACTGCCATCAGCTTACCCCGGAGGGCTTCTATCTCTTTAGTGTGAGCAGACCTTTCCGAGTCTTGTTTGTTCTGAAGATTCTCTATTTCGTGCTGGTAATCTAGCCTCATCTTCTCTATCTGTGTTTTTAACTCCACAAACTCCGTGGTCTCCATTCCGACCCCCTTGCTGAAGGACACCTTCAACTCTTCCATCGCCTGTTGGTGAGACGCGATGGCCGTCTCCAGCTTGGACTTCCACAGGGCTATCACATCCGAATTCTCCTTGTTGGCATGATCAAGCTTGCTTTTCAGCGACTCATTCTCTTTGGAAAGCTTCTCTGTGACAGCCTGAAGAGCCTTTATCTCCTTCTGATGTGTTTCTTCACAGGCTCCAAAATGCTCCTTCAGAGAAATGATTTCTCTCTGGTGGTCAGCATGGGCGGCTTCCAATTTTTCTTGCAAAGAACTTATCTCTTGCAAAAAGGAGAGTGACATGTCAACATCCCCAGCAGGCTTATGGGACTCTAGCCGCCTCCGCAACTCAGCTACCTCCTGCGCTCTCAACGCTAGGTCTTTTTCTAGTTCCATTATACGGGACTTTTCCGACACTGTAGCCACCTAGTAACCGCAGTCCAAAGAAAAACAAAGCATGTAAATAACCAATCACTGACGATTTTCTTTAACCTTGAAGCTCTTGAAGAACTCCCCAACCTTGGGCAGCCATCGAGCTACTGAGAATGCCCACATGCTCACCCACCTCTGCCATCGTGGAGGAAGTTCAATTCTGAGAGCTCTAAAGTCATCATCTTTGGCAAACTTCCACTATGCTGATGGTCAAGGAATTGAAAACTGATATGGAATATAACTTACTCCAGAATTATTTTTTTCCTCTAAGGAAATGTAGAGAAGTGCCCGTCAACTGAGAGTAAGTTAATGGAAACAGTAGCTTTCAAAATTCTCAGAAATGTCCAGCTGCTGGAAGACAGAATTCTCTTCATTTTACTTGGTTTTCCCCTACTCTGCTTCACCCAGCATGTATAAATGTTCACTTATCTAATGCAGGTGATTTTAAAGACCTGTGCTATCTGGTAAAGCAGCACACATGGCTACTGAGCACTGCAAATGTGACAGATGGTGTATGTGTAACATATACAGATTTTAAAGACTCGGGGGGAAAAAGAACATAAAATATCTTAATTTTTACTTATTACATGATGTAACTACCTTACTTTCTGATTACAGGATGAAAGGATATTATTTTGAATATAGTGGTTTAAATCAATTATTAATTTTACCCGTTTCTTTTTATCTACTAAAAATGTATGTTAATGTCGGTGGCAGAGAACTTTCGATTATATACATGTGGTTGGTATTATACTTCTGTGGGCTACCACTGGTATAGAAGGTGTGAAATTACCTATCAAACGTTTCAATGAATACCAACATTAGCTGTAGAATGAAAGCTTTATCTGGATAATGAAGAAATAATTTACTAACCTTTTCTAAAAAGACAAAATAAGAACAATTACTTACCTGTAATTACATATGAGAATCTTTAGGGAGTCCCCTTTTTGGTTTCTATAATTCTATTGGCATTTTAATATACATATCTTGTTCCCCTAACCCAGTGGTTCTCAGACATCAATCTCCTGGGATGCAGATCTAAAAGGCAGGTTCTCACTCCCCCACGTTTTGATGTTATTTGAGCTCTGGGACAGCACCCAGGAATCTGTTTTGTTGTTTGTTTTTTAAACAAACACCCAGGACTAGAAAAAACACTTTAACTTGTGTCCATTTATTCTTAAGCAATTATTTCCCTCTGATACCTGTTAGCCAGCCAGTGTAGTACACAAATTATGTGGGAATTGGTTGCTTCAGGGATAGAAATGAATGACTGGACTAACCTAGGAAATAGAAGGGAACGTGAATGATTTAAGAACAAATTTCAAGAATCCAAACTCCTCCAGGTGGAAGGCTCCTCTTACCCAGGGCCTCTAAAGTGATAGGTGGGTTTCCTTCGCTTCCTCTGCCCACCTGCAAACTGTGAGACCAACAAACACTAACTTGTCCACAAAAGACCAGGAAAAGAAAGCAATCAGTCTCTGAAACCTGCCTGAGGGAGTCATTAACTATTTCAGAGCTGACTGTAACTAGTGTGCTTCAGGGTCAGAGATGCTCCAGGTTAAAGATGTTTCTTTACATACTTTCTTCTGGGGCAGGCAGTAGGGTGTCCAAGAGTTTGTTGCCACAAAGCAAGGTCTAAAACATTAATAAAACCCCAACACTGCAAGGTCTAGAATGTAAATAAATCCAATAGGACAAGAGGTCTTTATTAGTCAATGTCAAGTAAAAAATAAGTGAAAAAAAAGAATAGCGTGATTATACTGTAGCATTTCTATAGCTCTTCCATTTTTTGTTTTACTTCCCAAAGTTTGCCCTCAAGCAAAGCTGTGTCTGCCTCTCCCACCAGAGTGAGGTATCTTACTCTTGCGACTTTTCTGCAGTAGTAAACACCTTGCTCATCAACTGGACATATTGGCTCAAAGGAATTCTAAAGCACTTCTTAAAAGGATGGTAGGTGATAGGAAACACAAGTGGTTCATGGGCTAGTTTCACACTTGGCCAAGAGTGAGGATCAACAGAAGGCATTAATTTCTTATAGAAAGGACACAACCTGAATCTGGAATAGTTGGATAAACCATGCTATGAATAGATGCCTTCTTACCCGCAAAGAAGAAAAAAACAAATAAAAAAGGGCATCTATCCAAGCTGTTTGCTGACAAAGGTACATGGGAGGAGTTCACAGGTTAAAAAAATATGTATTGATAGATATACGTATACATCTCCTTGCTTCAACAGCTATTCCAGTAAAAGAACCCAATCTTATCATCAGTCCCTTGTATTTCCCAGATCAAGTCATTGGCTCTCAGGTAACAAAGAAACATTACCAAACTACCAGGATTTTTTCCTTACCAAATACACAGGAGATACCTTTACTTTTGAGGCCAACTGAGAACATTTTCTTTCTTCTTAAAAAAAAAAAAAAAAAAAAGCTTATGATTTAGAGAAGAAAAATTAATTATCTAGATTTTTAGATCAGTCAATGATTTCTCAACAAAAGAAATTTCTACAAATACAATAATTCAAAAGAAAAAAAACAGGATATCAAATTTGATCAGAGACAGTAATTTTTGAAATTATGTAGTTAAGGATCTGGGCAATTTAACCACTGACAGTCAAACTTGTGATTTAAAAGATATACGTAGGGATCCCTGGGTGGTGCAGCAGTTTAGCACCTGCCTTTGGCCCAGGGCGCGATCCTGGAGATCCGGGATCGAATCCCACGTCAGGCTCCCAGTGCATGGAGCCTGCTTCTCCCTCTGCCTATGTCTCTGCCTCTCTCTCTCTCTCTCTGTGTGACTATCATAAATAAATAAAAATCTAAAAAATAAATAAAAGATATATGTACATACATGTCCTCTTATATGTAAATGAGTTGGATTGTTTATTAAATGTTTTAGCACAGAACTACCTCCATAATAGAGAGACTCCACCCTGTGGTGGTCAAGAGCACAGACTTTGGGGCCAAATGTTCTAGATACAAATCCTGGCTGCATTGTGACTATTAGCTGTGTAACCTTGGGCAAATTATTTAATCTCTCCATCCCTCATCCTCATCTGTAAAATGGGGACACTGCTACCACCTCCCTTGGGGTTTAGGTGAGATGAAGTAAGTTAACTGGTGCAATGCTCAGAATAGTGCCCAGCACCAAATAAGCACTATATAGGTGCTTTAATACATAAATAAGTAAAAACGTGACTGATGCATTGGCTCCAAGGGCCAGAGACAGTGAGCTGGGGTTACAGGAAGCCATTCTGTTCTCAGAGCACTTTTCCCTCCTGATCACTGAGATTTTCATCTACTGGTGACAGAAAAGAGGGAAATGCAAAGACAGATCAGGTATCAAGAAAAAAAAGTCATTCAGATGAAAGTCCTTAACTCTCATTCAAAAGATCCAGTGTTTCAATTCCCCCAAAAGGTCAGGGAAGAAGGCAGGAAGAGAGAAGCGAAGTAAACAGTAACAAAAAATTATTCAGAAACCCCTGACACTGAGAATATGAGAACAAGAGGACAATTGACTGCTTGTGGCAAAACTGGAGAAATGTATTCCAAGGTATTATTACAAAGAGCCTCAAATGTGGTAGTGGATGTCCATGCACTCTATACACAGGTGTAGGGTTTCCGATCTTGATTTTGGTTGAGTCAACCAAAGGAATGAGTCTTTACCTTTGACAAAAGATTTGATATGAAACATCTGTGTCTACCCATCAGTCTACGCTCATGAGCACCTGAACAGCACCAAGACCAAACTCAGGTCGAACCACTGGGTCAAGGCTCAGGACAACTGCAAGGCACGTCCCCCGAGGCGTCACCATTCACATACACGGGTCTGCTTCATTAAACAGTGAAAACCATTACCCTAGTGTCTTCTAACTCCCTCTGGAGTTTGTCAGCTTTGGTCTTTTCAAAGAGCAGGCTCTGTTCAAGCTCCTTAATGCGGGCATGCTCCAGTTTGGTCTGCGTCTGTTAGTAAAAAGGAAGAGGAAGAGAACACAACAGTGCCACCATGACATGCCAGCACAAGAGGAGAGAGAGCGGCATGCAGGCTGAGCCACCAGTACCTTCCGCCAAAGGATGAACAAAAAGGGAAATGGAGAAGGGCAGAGGATGGGCTGAGATGGGGGTGCTGGGGGTGCAGATGAATGCTATGGATGACAGGATGAGGTGGGCAAGGGACACGAGCTAGTCTACTGAGAAAGACAAAGTGAAAACACATGTGGCGGGATGAGCAGTGTCAGATGCGTGCAGCCAAATATAAGTTATATTGATAAGTGAGGTTGATCAGCACAAATTAGAATAGTTAATATTCCTCTAAACTATCATTTGCCCCCTCCCCACAACAGCCATTTGACATTAATGTGTATGTAACTGACTCGGTGACTTTAACAAGTAAATCGACCCTCAAAATGATCATGGCTATCCCCTAAATATGGCAAATACAATGTCATAAATCTTACAAGTATTCAGTAAGTCCCTAGGGCAGATTCCAGTGCTATGGTGTACAATTTGATGTGAACAAGCATGGAGTGTTAAGCCTAAGGAAGGGAATCCAGAAACTAGAGCTGAGGAAATCATACCAGTGGCCTTTGCTGAGATGAACAAAAAGGGTCTAGCATTCTTAACATTTCCCAATCCCCTAGTTTCCTTCCTACAGTGGGTTTTCCAAAAACTAGGTGTCATTAAGGGAAAAAAGGAGGGGATCATATTTACATGGGAAAATTCAGTAACAATTATGCTTGATAGCTTCCATCTCTGAGACTCAGCTAGGAGAGTTTAGAGCTGGTGAAGGGTTCATTTTTCTCCAGCTCAGGATGAAGTAATTATCATCTCAGGAGTGGGAAATGGGTGACTCAGGCCAAAGGCATTTAGTTTGAACTCCATGCAAAAGGAGTTGATAAGATCCTGTGTTTTAAAACTTCAGAGACTCCCCATCATCACTTAACTCAGATGTAACTTGATGGAGAGCCCAGAAAGTAACCTCTAACAGCATGATCTTAATTCATGGGAATAATCTGTCTAAACATACCTCTCTCCCCACCACCTCCCCCACTCAAAAGGTTAGCAGCAGAACCAAGTGATCAAACCTAGGGACAGAGCTACTCTCAGCAGCTTCTAGTCACTTATATTAAGTATTTTCTGGTTCTAACTGGTCAGATGTGTCTGGACAAATGTGAGCAATGCAGAAATGACAACAAACTCTAAACAAAGTAACAGAAAGTAGTGCACAGCTTAAGTAGAAGGTGGATTATTTAAATTATAAACATCTTTTAATGACTCCGGTGGTCCTCTAGGGATTTCAACACATAAAAGAGGTCACTATGCTTGTGAACCAGATATAAACCATCGTGAAATATTTCAAAAGTGAAAAAAAAATTTAAGTTTCTTCATCTGCTTCAGCTCTTTACACTCAACAAAAATAATGAAATAAAACCCAAGACCTAACAGTCTGGACAGTCCCCTTGGTCCTTATGTGCCTTAGAACATGTTTAATTTACCTGCTTTTACAAGAATCTAATCCAGATCTACATAATTGGGGTCACAGCCTCAAGAACTGATATCTAAAACTAGGAGTAAAAAGCAAAAGGCAACATAATCTTTCTTCACCTCCTGACACTGAATTCAGTGTCTTCTGGGTGAAGGGTTGTTACTTCCAGATAAAAAGCAAGTATCTCCTGAATGTGATCTTCTTCCCATTCCAAGATCTTCCAGATGACCACAATTCCTCCTTGCTGGCGGGTATGCATACAAACCATCTGGGACTCTACGGCTGCGTCTGAGCAATCACCAGCAAGGGAACTAGTGATCCACTTCCATGCCACGGTGTATGATAAAAATGTCACACTGTGCAGGACTACCCTCCTTTTAAAAGTATTCCTTTCTTACAGTAAGACAGAACATCCCGAGAGGAAGGTCCTGGGAAGGGATTAGGAGGGAAAGCAAAGGCTCTGCGAGAAACATACAAGAAAGGCAGGAGGGAGATACCCATGCAGACTGACATGAGTGCAGAGGGAGCCTGTTTTGGGAGGAGAAAGAGACCCAGATCACTGAAGTAGCTTCACAAAAAGGAAACCTTCAGAACGGAGGCTTTTTACAAGTTCGGCCTTAAGTTGTCTATTTCAGCTGCCAGGGAACAGTAGGAAGAAAAATCTTTGCTTTAATTTTACTCTCTTAGGTGGTAAAACAAAACCAGAGGTTTTGAGGTTTCTTTCAACTGGCATTACAGCTGGCAGTGTGCCAGGAGGAACCACGCTATGGAGGCTACTTAGGTGAGATTGGAGCTGGATATTTGATCTTCATCAGATGGACAAGGGGAAAAAAAAAATACCTACATGCCTGGTAGCACTGCTACTAGAAAAATCTCACTTCGATAATAATAAATTTAAAGCACACAGTGTCTTCACTGAAGAATGCTTGTCTCTAGTTTCACCAACTCAGGGAAAATACTGTGGCCCCAACACGCAGATGCTTGTATTTCTGGTCACATGCACTAGCGGGCACTGGCCAGAAGGGGGCGCTCACAAAAAGGCAATGGCCCCCAACATGCCCTTCTACTCTCAAGGGAATGAAATTAGACCACTTGGGTAAACTTGCCCACAGAATTTCTCTAACTCCTTCATCTTGCATGTTTTATGTTTCCGTTAGCTATCATCTTTTTTGGAATGATTCCATTAAAATGAGAAGGCATTATGAATTAAGTGAAGGAGGCCAGGCCCCCGGGCAAAATCCTTTTTCCTTCTTGTTGGCAAAATTCTCCAGAAGGCAAACATTTGCTTATGCATTCAATAAATGGATTTATACAGCTTAGTCATTAGATACAATTTTTTCAGGATACAAACATAATTGCTTTGAAAGCCACATGCACAGAAATATTAAGGTCAATGTCTCCGGTCAGATTATGGAGTTAGTATTTGAGTATATCAATAAGCATTTTAATCTGTCATCAATCTGTGTTAACAAGGGAAATCTCCACACAGTTAAGTGCCCTCTTACATTCTCAGGATCTTCAGAAATCTGGCTCTTTTGCTATTAGTAAAAAAATAAAAAAATTAAGCAACAACAAAAGGAGAGATTCCACTAAAGTTTTGATTATGTGATAGGATTTCAAAATAACCCTAACTCTGATTAATTTCAAATGATTGTACCATACAGAGTACACTGGCCTAGTGCTGATGGGAAGATTTCACTCACTCCTCCCCAGAACATCCTTGGCTGTGTCTCACATGAATCAGTTGATGATATGAAACTTCTAATGAGACTTTGGGGTGTTTTTAAATGGATGAAAACAACACGAAAGTCAACTAAAGGGATGTGACTATATATGAAATGAGCCAAGAAGGGAACTATTGAATTATGAATAATCCATTAAATTCTAGGCCTTATAAAACTAGAACTTGGAGAATGCGTTCCTTACTCTCTGTTGACTATGAAGACAATTTCCAAAGGGATCAGAGTTCCTATCTGGAAAGGCCTCTGAAATGGAAGCATGGTGTGGGCCGCCAACAGGCTCTAAACTGGTAACAGCAGCAAAAGTGTATATTCTGGGAACTGCACAGGCAAGTACAATTTTTCCTAAAATATTACGGATTAAAGTACCAAAAATCTGCAAAATTTGAATAATTTAATAATTTATATTTGTCATATATCTAGCAGTGGTTTAAAAAGCATCAAAATCATTTAAATCTGTCATCCACTTAAACTAGTATGAATAGTTGTTAAAAGATGAGAAATTGATGCTAAAGGAAATCTCTATGAATGTAAAATATGCCATAGAAGTAAAAGAAGCTGAAATACAAATGGCTCTTGTTTTTTCTTCAGATAACTACTTTTAAAAAAATCAATTACTAGAACATGTATTTATTCCTTCTACAAGGTTATAAAAAATTTATCCAGCTCAACTGAAAAGCAAAGCTGAGATAAAGCAAAATAACTTTTTGGGAACAATTATGATGAAGTTAAAAATGCTCTTTACAAGGCCATTCCTGATCATCAGAGGAACATCTAGAGTCTCACTTGGACACACTGCCAGATTTATGACTTGATTAACTCCATTAAGGTTGTAAATTTTGAAGTGCAAGAAGAAAGTAGTAAAAACCTAACAGGGTCACTGGAGTCAGGATATGACAGTCCCAGGCCCATGGACAGGTTCTGGCACCTGAGCTGGAACCTCGCCCACAGCCCAAGGCTGGCTGGGGCTCCTTCCGTTCCCTCTGCTGCCTGTTCTGGCACAATGATCTTATCCAGATCTGTGAATGCTAGTACCCATGAAAGCTGTAGAGAGCTGGAGGGGTTTTACCTCAAGATCTCCTTTTGTGATGGATTCTTCCTCAACCCGGAATTGCAGGTCCTCCACCTTCCTGTGAATAAAATCGAAACAGAGCATTTAAGCAACCAGGGAACACATGTGCCTTACCAAAAGAAGGATCCATAATCAATACCCTGGTGAATGTAACAGAGGATGGTGGAAGAAAAGAAAGAAATGAAATTTTAGGCATCTGGCTTATAAATCTAAGAACTCTATTCTACTTAGGAAGCTTCCAATGTTTAATCCAGGTACTGATTCCAGGAGGCATGCATGAGGTGAGAGTTGAAAAAACCACCTGGTTTCCTTGGTCACAACCAGCAGAGTGAATCTAATCAAGATGGGACCAGCCTAAAGGGAAAAGGTCTATCACAAAAACAGGTTCTGAGATTTCAAGTCTGTAATTTCTACTTTCCAATTACAGAACATAGGGGAAAGTGGCACAGAAAACAAATCTCTTTATATCACCCCAGGTCAGATATTTTAGGGTGAGGTTAGCAGGCCACCCACACAGAAAGCCCAAGGACAATACTAGTACCTGTTCCAAGACTGGGAGAATAAAGTCATGAACAATTTGAGTCACTTTTTTTTTTTTCACATTTTAAAAATCTCTGTTTTGGGTTTGGGTTTCAATCAACGAAATAAGATATCCTAAAGATTTACAAAATCCAGATAACCTCCAGACTGTAAATCTTCACAAAATGGAGTGTAAGGAAGAAAAGGGGACAAAGTTCGTAACTTGTCTGCAGAAACCAAAACTGTCGAACTCACTAGCATTTCTGGCAAAGTTAAGAAAATGTCTACTCTGTTGAATCAGAAATATAATCATAAATAATTTACAACCCTCTAGCTCACTGGAGGATGAGCCTGAAACAGGAGGACATTTTTCTGGCCCAGCAGTCAGCAGACCAAGAGCTGGCTTAAGAACCAAAGCAAATGGTACTGGTACCTTGGCACTCAGAAGGTCCTACAAAGGCCTGTTACTATCTTTCATTTATTTGTAGCCATTTTTAAGATACAAAGTGAATTTCCCAAGAACAGAATTTCCCTATGTGTAGTGTTTCTCTTTCTAGTGAGAAAATAGTTTCCTTGGTAAAAGACTGTATTATATACCTCCTCTATATATCCCTTACCACAACAGCACCTTTGATTGTCCTAACTCAGACCATACAGCTATGGAATTAAATCACTGCCACCAGGAAGGACAGAAGATGGCATTAAACGCAGTTGAGGACACATGTCCCATTACCCAGAAATGTCCCAATGGTTTCCATGCAGACACCTCTTTCAGAGATCATATTGGTTCACAGCCTCAAGAAGAACCAAACTTGCTTCCTCTGTTTCACACAATTTAGCACTTGATTCCATCCTGACCTGGATAATGCTCTCTAACTGCTTCACTCAGAAGTTTTGTTTTCCTCATCATACTGAGTTTCCTCATCATACTGAGTTTCTCAAGGACCCTGTATCACTCACCAGACATAATACAGTTTTACTAGATATATGGAAGGTATTTCCCAAACATGAAGTAACTTGCACCCACAATGTCCTCTCACCAAAAATAGTTCCAAGTAGAAACAGGGTTTGAATTAATCTCATGGCACTGAGGCCATTCTCACAAGGATGTTTGGCACATAGCAGGGGCTCAATAAATAGCTGTTAAACGAAGCAGGGTATGTCTAGATGATTCCAAATTTCCTAAAAAACAGTCAAATCCATACAAACCCTCCTCAGGCAGTACGAAGACTTAATTTCCACTGAATACACAATCATTCTCTGGTTCTAAGGGCTAGCACCTTAATGAGAAGTTTTCCTAAGATTGTTTAAAAAGAAAAGGCCACACTTGCACCACGGGAACAATTTGAGATCACCTTTTCTCCTCTTCAAGTTGGTTGAGAAGCTCCACCTTCTCCCTGTCAGCAGCTTCCACCATTGTTCGCAGCTGGTCCATCTTGGCCTCCAATTCCAGGACATGCTGGGAAAGGCAAGGGTGTCAGTGAGAGGCCTCTCTCTGACCCAGACACAGGCCCAGGGTTGCCTCCAGAGAGCTACAGCTAAGTAGCTACAGCTAAGACTCTATAACTTTTACAACTGAAATACTTTCTACGATCTTTAATAGGTTACTTCTCAGCCGCAATCCTGGAAACTGGAGGATGAAAAACCACAGCACTACAACAACAGAGAGCAATGTTAAAACAACACTCATCTTTTTTGAAGCTGAAATGCTTACAAAGGATAATCTACAAAACAGGAGTTGCAGTCGTTGGTAAGGTCCTAGTAAACAAGCTCCCCTGACACAGGCCAAAAGACCTGGATGTAAAGACCGAAAGACTAAGGTAGACTCAAGAAGAACAAAACTTCATCTAACAATACAAAGTGGTACCCCAGGTCACAGCTTCAAACAAGCCCAGCAAAGACATTTCTACTCATTTTCAGCGCTCCCAAGACTAGCTCCCTGGCTCCAAGCACCAGGTTCGCCACTCAGCCTTCTCCCTCGAGTTAGAAAGCACCACCATCTCCACAAGGTCATCTTAGAACCCATCACCACCTCTGAAACAAGGTCAGCAGCAGACTTCACCTGGTCGTGTCCGTCCCGGGCCAGAGCTAGCTCCTGCTCTATTTCCCCCACGTGGCTTGTGGCCTTGGCCACCTCCGCCCTCTCTAGATCCCGTTCAGCCAGCAGCTGCTCAATGTGCTGCTGCTTCTCCTTCAGGGCCTCCTGGAGGGCAGTGGTGCCGGAGATCTTCCTGGCGTAACGGGAGGAGGTTTCAGTCAACTGCAAAGGAAAGTTAAAGAAGTGAAGGGCGATGATGCTTTCGGGGATGCAAGGAGGGCGTGAGGCATGCACGGCAGGCATCTCCTCAGCAAAGCAAAAGTGCTGTCCCAGCTCCCAAGCTTGCCAATTATTAGGAAAAGCTTGTCATCAAGGAAACAGGACAGCATGGGCCTCCTGATTGTGGCTATCACAAATAACACATCAACATAAGAGGTCATGGGACAATCAGAAAGATGTTTGGAAGGAGAATAAGTGGCTCCAATCAAAGGTACCCTGAGCTCAGCTGACAGGGCCTTGTCAGAATCTAGAAAAATCCCAGAGAACCCAGTTAAGAAGTTTCTCTAAGCTCCATTTCTCCCCAAGGTTCATTAATAGTGATGTTCTTGTTATGATGTTTTGACCAGTCTTTTGCTCCTCAGACTTGAGGTGGAGACTTTCTTCCACTCTTAAAGCTTCTAACTACCAGTAAGTAACCAAGAGGTCACCCCTGGAGTCATAAACCTTCCTTTTATGGATTAAACAGCTGGATTTTGTCAGGATTTTCTTCATCTTTCTTTCAAAATGAAAGGCACAGATAAAAAAGAATGAAATCTTGCCATTTGCAATGATGTGGATGGAACTAGAGGGTATTATGCTGAGCAAAGTCAGCCAGAGAAAGACAAATACCAGATGATTTCACCCATATGTGGAATTTAAGAAACAAAACAAATAAGCAAAGGGAAAAAAGGGGAGAAAGACAAACCAAGAAACAGACTCTTAACTCTACAGAACAAACGGATGGTTACCAGAGGGAGGATGAGTGCAAACAGGTAATGGGGATGAAGAGGAGCACCTGTCCTGAGAGCACCGGGTGATGGAAGCACTGAATCACTATATCATACACCTGGCACTAACATAACACTGTATGTTAGCTAATTGGAATTTAAATAAAAACTTTTAAACAAATGAAAGGCACAGGAAATCTCACACAGGAATCCAGAACTTGAGGACCTGAATCCCAATCACCAGAGACATTTATGAAGAGGGAAATTCTATCCACCCTCAAAAGTGTGTTTTTGTGCGTGCAGGTACACACACACGTAAGAGAAAGGGAGACAGAGGACATGTGGAGAGAAGTAAAAAGAGGGAAAAACAACCAGTGGAGAAAGAGGAGGAGGGGAGGAGGGAACAGAAGAGAGGGGAATTAAGAAATGGGGCAGAAAGGCAGTGGCAAGAAAGGTGGAGAAAGAAAGCTGTCCGGGGTCCCCGGCTACTCTGCTGTTTCTCATACAGATTCCTCCACCCTGAGGCCCTCCTCTCATGGTAAAGGGTAATAGGGACAAGCTGAACAGCATTCTTCCAAGCAAGACTCCAAGGGTTGGGAGGGAATTTAGGAAAGGCCTCATCCCTTGGCATGCATTTGTCCAAGGCCGTTGAGGTAGAGACCAGATCGTTGGATCTAGACTGAGTGGGCCCTGCCTTCATCTCCTGTAATCAGAGCCTCCTTTGCCACTTCAATGCCCTTCCTCAGCCTGAGCCCTCCTCCAGGAGGCAGAGTGAAGATCTGCCATCAATCAACTGTTAGGCAATCTGAGGGGCACCTGGAGGCTCAGCTGGTTGAGCTCCTGGTTTTGGCTCAGGTCATCATATCAAAGAGCCTCCCATTGGGCTCTGTGTGTGTGTGTGTTTTTTTTTTTTTTTTGAAAGATTTTATTTATTTATTCATGAGAGACACACAGAGAGAAAGGCAGAGACACAGGCAGAGGGAGAAGCAGGCTCCATGCAAGGAGCCTGATATGGGACTTGATCCCGGGTCCCCAGAATCACACCCCAAGCAGAAGGCGGTGCTAAACCGCTAAGCCACCAGGGTTGCCTGAGCTATGTGCTTAACGGGAAGTCTGCCTGAGATTCTCCCTCTCCCTTTGCCCCTCCCCCTGAAATGAATAAATAAATCTTTTTAAAAAATAGGCAACTTGACAACCATAAGAGTACAGGAATGCAATCAAACCCAAATTGTCCTTTGCTGTTTCTATTTAGTAAAATTTCTTAAATTAAACATATGGGAGGAAGGATACTCTTTTAATCATTTTTATGGTTAAAATTATACTTTCTCGTATTAACATTTCTTCCTGAATGTACTAAATCTGAGGTTCCCTGCACAGAGATGCCCTAGGGCCCTACAGCACAATCACTGGGCACTGTGGAATATTTTCAAATTTCCAGGGAAACACAGCAACGCTTGTTAGACACCATACAAACTACCAGCTTGAGGCAACTGTACTACATTCCTTTCAGTAACATTATGTCTTCCCAAAGCTAGGTTTTGGCTGCTGCTGTGACAAAAAGCCAGTACTGTAGAAAAAGAAATCAATGTGTCACAGGAAATGAGAGTGGCACTGTTCAGTAAGATTCCATGGTCTGATAAGGATGTGCAGTGCCCAACAGGAGCATACAACCTAATAGTGTGGTTATTTAAGATTGAATTAAAAATATTTTTTTCTCAATTAATGTATATCATTCTTTTTAGACAGCTACTAAACTGTTAGAGCATAAATATTAAGTTGCTTGGACCCAGTTGCTTAATAAATAGAACTCCTAGCTATTTCTTTTGGCCTAGGGGCACTATGACAAAATAACAGGCACTTAGGTGGTAGGAGAACAGAAGAGTTTGGGCACCTCTGTGCTCAATTCTCCCAGAGGACCATTCTGCATTAAAGAATCATTAGACATTCTCATATACATGCATGGGATTATGCTGTGGAGATATATTTCTAGAAGTCATACCCTCTGTGTTTTTGGCTTATTGTTTTATGATGATTTTTGGTTTAGAAACTACAGCCACTCTCTATAAAAACAAGGTGTATCTCCAGAATAAACTGTATCTACAAAAACAAGCTGTTTCACAAGGTAAGAAGACTCCTTTCTCTTTTGTCACTTTTCTTCACTGAGGTGAGCTAAAATGAATCAGAACTGGTCTGAAAAGAGGAGAGAGAGGAGGGAGTAGGGAGTGCTTCATTCTCTTCCAAAGAGATAGACACTTAAAACTACAACATAATAAAAGTTACTCAAGAAAGAATTCATAATCCAGAGAAGACACTTCTATGTACTTGCTCCTGGATTAGCAAAGTAGACTAGATGTCCATATGAGTTTGCTAAATGAGGCTTTGTCCAAAGAGGGGTGGCTTCACTTGTCATTGTTCTTGTCAAGCTTTTATTGTCAAAGTCCATTTGTAATTTTTCTGAAGATTTAGACTTTCTTTTCATATGCAAAATGAAAAAGTACAAATAGGTATTTAGTTTACCAGAACTTAAGAGAAAGTCCAGTTGGTTGGCACAGAAGCACTCCTCCCCCTCACCCCACTCTTGAAGGAAAGATTCCTCCCCTTTCTCTTCCCAGAGGACCTGAGGACCACGGAAGGGATGGCAAATGAGACCAAGGGCCAGCAGCCTTACTCCAGATCACACCATGTAATATTCTCCCTCCTGTCTGTAGTTTACTTATAATGCAGTGATCTAGTGCAGAGCAGCCTTACAAATCTAAACAGTATTTGCCTCACTTCAAGTAAATAAAATTACTGGCAGGAGATTAGCCAAGAAGTTATTGTTTTGACCCTATAAAACAGCACATTAACAAACAGAATGAGCCACCACTACCTATTTTAATTCTGATGATTCTATTTTTACTGATCTAAATGGGAAAAAGCAGGAGAAAGGAAGTGGAAGGGAGAGGAGATAGAGAAAGAAACAAGACATGGCTTTTCCTAGCATCGTTTCAAGTTCCACTAGTTCCCCTCTGTGTCCTCTGGCCCAAGTCAGGAACACCTCACACACTGAGGGTTTTCCATGGGTTAGGCTCTACTAACATACTACCGAAATTCTAAGAACATGCCTTTTCTCAAAATACTTTAGTCCTTCAAATTGTTTAAAGTCAGAGAGACCTAGGTCATTGAGGAAAAGGACCCCTCCAATTTTCCTGTCATTCTTGTGCCCCAAATAATTTCAGAGAAAAGAAATTATCCCATGTGTTAGACTCCACAGTAGTCACTACAGACTCAGCAAGAACTGGTATATCTTAGGGCCCTAAGAAGCTGAAATGGTGTTCAAAACTCTATTTCCAAACTTGTCTTCTTGCTAAAGCTTTGTTTTATGAAACCTAGAATGGGCCTCCGCAAGCTACAGCTAACATTTAGTATGAGGCAAGTTAATAGCTCCAAAAGCAAAGCAGGTCCAACAGCAGCAGGTGTCTATGGTGTCTGGAAGGTAGAGGCATGCGGTGAGAAGAGGGAGGCTTACTAATCCTGTCCGGCTGGGCTTGCTGCTCACGGAGGAGGCCACTGAGCTCATGGAGCTGAGAGACGAGGCGGAAGGGCTGCGCTTCAGGCTGGCGGGCGTGGTTGCCATCACCCGCCTCACGGCAGCAGCCTTGGCTTTAGCTGGCGTAGTGGAAGGGAAGCCAATCTTGGTCACTTTGTGCACAGGAGCAAACAAGCCATATTTGGGTTGGCACTGAAAATACCTGTAGAAAATAACAATAAAAGCAGTGACAAAAACCTTAAATACAAGAAATAAGAACTATAAGCAAAGGCATCATTTTTTGGTTATAATTCATGACTGGTTTGCTGTGAATTCTATCGGTAAGCCGGGGCGATCAACCAGCATGCAGCATTCACATGTATGGGGGCTGATAACCCCAATAATGTTTTAGAAAACACACTAATGAATTACTTTATGATACACAGAGACAAAATTACTCATCTATTGCTAAAGTGCTCCTAAGGTACAAAGGGAATAAATATTTCTACTATCTGACATACAGTAGAAGGGTTCAGACTGTGATGTGTCAATGTTGGTTCAAAGGTCGTAACACACACGCCACCCGGATGCAGGATGCGGATAATGGGGCTAGTCGGGACAAGGCATATACAGCAATTCTCTGTATCTTCCTCTCAATTTTGCTATGAAACTATAATTTCTCTTTTAAAAAAAGTCTTAAAAATAGGGATCCCTGGGTGGGTCAGAGGTTTAGTGCCTGCCTTTGGCCTAGGGCATGATCCTGGAGTCCCGGGATCAAGTTCTACATCAGGCTCCCTGCATGGACCCTGCTTCTCCCTCTGCCAGTGTCTCTGCCTCTCTGTGTGTGTGTCCCTATGAATAAATAAATAAAATCTTAAAAAAAAAAAAAAAAGAACAGCTCTAATTCTAGTAGGGAAAAAAATCATAGGAGTCTTAGGAAACAGAATTGTAGCTCTTGGGGTACGTGGGTGGCTCAGTGAGTTAAGTGTGGACTCCTAGTTTCTCCTCAGGTCCTGATAGCAGGGTCATGGGATTGAGCCCCGCCTCGGGCTTTGCACTCACTGAGGAGTCTGCTTAAGACTTTCTCTCCCTCTCCCTCTGCCCCTCTACCCTGCCCCCCTCTCAAATAAATATATATATATATACTTTTTAATGCAGCTCTTGGTGAAATCTGTTTGAGCACCTTTACATGCAAGAGGGAGATAAGATTCCAACTCCAAACAAACCTGGTTCCAGCAACTGCCCCATCGTTCTTCCCAAGAGGCTCATCCAACTCCACACCACACCATTCCCCCTTGGCAAAGTCTGTCTCCCCAAGAAACCGGACTACACCAGCCTTGGTGCCACCAACCTGGAAAAAAAAAAAAAGCATATGTAAAAATATAAGGAGATGGACATAATTCCATAGCTTAATCCTTTGTAGTTGCAATGAATAATTAAGTAGAAGACTTCACATTTCCCCCAACAGCTTCTCTTTACCTTCTCCTCAGCATTTAAAGAGTTTTCTCCAAAGATTGGTGAAGTTTACTGGGATGACTTACATTAAGAGTGATATGTCCCAGTAACAAAACAGCCTATGTAATATTGAGTCATTGTGCTGTCCACCAAATTAATTAGTCCCTTCCTTAGAAAACACTTTATTACTCCAGAGGAATTCTCCTGCTTCAAAATAAGTATTCGCGGCAGCCCCGGTGGCGCAGTGGTTTGGTGCCGCCTGCAGCCCAGGGTGTGATCCTGGAGACCTGGGATCGAGTCCCACATCAGGCTCCTTGCATGGAGCCTGCTTCTGTCTCTCCCTGTGTCTCTGCCTGTGTCTCTTTCTGTGTGTCTTTCATGAATAAATAAAATCTTTAAAAAAAATAAGTATTTGCTACAAAAATAAAACCTGTATATTCCTTGAAGGAAAACAAAATCCATCCATATTCCCCACACTGTACCACTGCTCTGTTTCCTCATCCTTCATGTCTTCATCCATGGGAAGTGACAACACACACACATTAAGGACAGATATTCACGTATCCACGTTTGGTTTTGGCCTAAGTGTACATGGCACGAAAACATAAATTCTCTAATTCACTTTACTGATATTTTCCATTGTGAGGTTGTTTCCTCACGACTATTAAGATTATTCTTCACATTTTATTTCACATGAATCTTCAAAGCTGTCTTTTTTAATGTGTAACTCTTTGTCCCCTCCGTTTGATGTACTATGCAAACATTACTTCCAAAATTACCCACCGCATCTATGTATTATTCCTTCTTTTGCCATTACTTTCTACTTCAAATACTCATTTTTCCAGAATCCCCTGGGCCCCCAAGAACACAGTGATGAATGAGTCCTTCTACAGGTTTGAAAATTCAATATTTGCGCTACTGCCACAGCATTATTTGCCACAATTACTGCCACTTTGCAATCTGTGTCGTATCTGCTAGAGCTGGCTTCCCTTAAGACTCTTTACTTTTTTTTCTTTTCTTCCTTTTTCTTAATTGCTTCTTTAGAAATTGCCCCCCCCCCATAGTGAAGAGGAGTCACTGCAAGAACTTAAGAACGTTATAACCAAAAAAGAAATGTTTTGGCTGTGTTTCTCAACACCCTGAGATAGCCCCTGTTTTCTGGTTCACTCTCCCTGACACGCTCCAGAGGTGGGCTAGGATTCCATGGCAGAGATGTACCACAATACAGGCACTTTCCTCACTTTTCCTTTGGGATGTTCACCTTTTTATTACTGATTAAAAAACAAAAACAAAAAAACAAAAAACAAACAAAAACCCTCTTTATACATAATGAACTTAAATTAATTCCTGAATAGCCAATGCATTCTCATGGTTCCAAAATTTTAAATATAAATATGCATCAAGGGGTGCCTGGCTGGAACAGTTAAGTGTCCGACTCTTGGTTTGGGCTCAGGTCATGATCTCAAGGTTTGGAGACAAAGCCCTGTGGCTGGCTCGGGCTCAGCCTAGAGTCTGCTTAAAAGACTCCCTCTCCCTCTCCCCCTTCCACCCTCTCACTTCTATCCCCACCACCTCCCCTGTGTGCACACAGCACTCCCCCTCACTAAAATAAATAAATCTTTTAAAATAAATAAGTAGGGCAGCCCCGGTGGCTTAGTGGTTTAGCACCGCCTTCAGCCCAGGCCATGATCCTGGAGACCTGGGATCGAGTCCCATGTCGGGCTCCCTGCATGGAGCCTGCTTCTCCCTCTGCCTGTCTATCTGTCTGTCTGTCTCTCTCTAATAAATAAATAAAATCTTTTAAAAAAATAAAAATCAAATAAATGTCAAGGAAAGCATCTCCTTACTGAACTCTTGTCCTAACCTACCCCACTCCCACCATGCAGGAAAGCACTGTTACTGATTTGGCCATGCATCCTTCCTCCCAGCATTTCTACATGCAGATGAAAGCAAACATTAATGTTTGTTCTTATTCCTTTTATTTTTACACAAAAGCTGGTGTTTTATATGCACTGTATTATACCTTGCAGAACACAGAGAACTTCCTTCTTTGTATTTGCAACTGCTGTTAATCTACCATATGGATGCATTCGTTTATCTAATCAGTTCCTACTAACAGATACTTAAGTAGGTTTATTTATTTAACCCATTTAAAAATCATTTTGGCTAATTCTGAGACCAGTGGGACTGTGTTAACTGTAGATTACCTAGGGAAGGTGATTTATTTTACTGATGTTAAACAGGAACCAGCTTGTAGATTTTTCCCTTTTGTGTTTGAGGTTCTCTATTTTCTCGAATTCACATTATATCCTTACTATTTCCTTTTTTCCTGCTTCCTTTTGGTTTATTGTTTTTTCCTTCCTAGTTTCTTTTTGAAATTTTTTTAAAATTTTTTATTTAGGGATCCCTGGGTGGCGCAGCGGTTTGGCGCCTGCCTTTGGCCCAGGGCGCGATCCTGGAGACCCGGGATTGAATCCCACATCAGGCTCCCGGTGCATGGAGCCTGCTTCTCCCTCTGCCTGTGTCTCTGCCTCTCTCTCTCTCTGTATGACTATCGTTAAAAAAATAAATAAATAAAATAAAAAAATAATAAATAAAAAATTTTTATTTAAGTAAGATCTAGGCCCAACTTGGGGCCTGAACCCATGACATTGAGATCAAGAGTCGCATGTCCAGCAACTAAGCCAGGGTCTCTCCTTCCTAGTTTCTTAAGACCAATGCTAAGTTTATTTTTTGTCTTGCTTTTTAATACTTAAGGCATTTGTTTCTAAATCTTGTATGACTATAGCCCTCTATGAATTTGGGATGACACACTTCTTTTTTACAGTTTTAACCTTTTGTTGAAGATGGAATAACGTTAAAGCCTCAAGCCAATGTTTCCTCTGAAAGGGAAACTTACACAACTGATTTAAGGAACGGAGGAAGATGGTTTAAGGTACTGCTGGCAGGAAGGCCACGTAAGGGTGACAAAGGACAGGCAGTGCCAGGACATTACAGGAGCGCTCTGGTGTCATGACAGGTGTCACTGAGGCAAGACAGAATAGGAGGAAACTCTATGGCAAGAGCCTTGTGTCCAGCACTTCAACCTTCAATGTCTAGCACAGCAGACAGTTAACAAACGTTCACCAGATAAATGAAAGGTGACTTTCTCCACTGGCGCACAGAAAAGGCCACTTTCCCACATAAACCGACTAAAGAAAAAAGATCTCTCATAGCTGAGGTTGAATCTGATGTCTCAGAAGTGAGTAGAGGAAGTGATATGCTGAGATAGAGCATAGCTTCTAAAGTTGAACAAACTCAAATTCTATTAATGAGTCAGGTTGCTTAATTTCTAAAACTCATTTTCCTCATAGGTAAAATGGTGATAATTTTGGGACTGCTGGGAGGATGAAGTAAAATAATCCACATAAAATTGCTTAGAGCAGTGTGTGACTGTGAAGAGTCTGATATATGCTAGCAGCTAGTTTGCCCACACTAACGGGAATCCTAGATCTGGCACATTTGTTTAATAACTCATACTGGTGTTCAAGGAATCTATAATAGTCCCCTATATAAGCTCACTTCAGTTTTCTCCACCCTCCCACACCACAGCACTCGGAACTGCTGGCTACCCAACATTATATAAACAGAACACAAGTCATTAAAGATAATGTGATCTCATCAAATTAATCTGTTGAATTCTTTGGGGCGCGTGGGAGGGGGGGTGGGGGGCGGAGGTCGGTGAGTCTAAGTTACTGTCATGGCAATTGTTTTCCTAAGAGGTGTCTAACAGGCTGTGGTCAGTAAATAATTTGTCCAATCAAACCACAGGCTTCATTCAGAAGCTTTATTTAAAAAAAAGCACACAAAATAGCATATAGCAGGCATGGATACATTGGGATTTCCAACAACTACCCTGCTGGACTGTCATGGAAGATTTGCCCAGAATACAGCTTATTTCAATGTGATGACAGAAGCCCACTACAAATATAATCACCCTGAGGCCAGAGGATCCTCAAACTGAGATTTCAAGAATTCTTTCAGAAGAGAGAAGCTGGAATAAAAATCCCCGGATTCTAGGACACTACGGAAAGAGTCACCTAGAGTGAGACAGAGGATCTATGAGTGTCAAGAAAGTGGAAGATCCTTCAGGCAAAATTCAGTCTTAACCTCATGTGAGAGAATACATACTGGTCAAAGGTCCTTTGAATGTATCTACAGTGGAACAGCTTCAGGGCCAAAGGCAATCTTGTTAAACATCAGTGAATACATGCAGTAGAGAAGCCCCATCAGTGCAAGGGGTGTAGGAAAAACTTTTAGTCAACAGGGTAGTTTGGCCATTCAGGAAAAACTCCACACTAGTCAGAAACCCTAGGAGTGTGTTATCTGTCAGAGAAGCTTCAGGAATCAAAGTAACCTGGCTGTTCATAGAAAAGTTCACAGTGGGGATCCCTGGGTGGTGCAGTGGTTTAGCCACCTGCCTTTGGCCCAGGTGAGATCCTGGAGACCCCAGATCGAATCCCACGTCGGGCTCCCGGTGCATGGAGCCTGCTTCTCCTTCTGCCTGTGTTTCTGCCTCTCTCTCTCTCTCTCTCTCTCTCTCTCATGAATAAATAAATAAAATATTAAAAAAAAAAAAAAGAAAAAAAAGAAAAGTTCACAGTGGTGAAAAGCCCTATAGATGTGATCAGTGTAGAAAAGCCTTTAATCAGAAGGAGGTTTCATTGTTCACATCAGAGTCTGTACAGGCCTGAAACCCTAAGCTTGCACACAGTGCAGGAAGTTTCCACACCAGGGGGAATTGTATCGCTGACCACTTTCTCTTATTAAGATTTTATTTATTTGAGAGACAGCATGAGCAGCTGGGAGAAGGCAGAGGGAGAAGCAGACTCCCTGCTGACAGGACCTTGAAATCAT